ACGCCCATAATCGGTGCGGATCCCCATGGGGAAGGCTCGTTTTGTTGACATCTACCAGGCTTTGGTTCTGAACCCAGAGAAGGCGGCTGTGGAGCTAGTGATAGCCATGCTTTCGTAGGGTAAACGTGTTGGTGTTGAGGGCGGGGAGGGAATCCACGGAACAGGAATGGAAGTGGTTTAAAGCTCATTTTAGTTTGGCTGCTCATAGAATGTCAACTTTTGAGTTATTTACAGGTTGTATGTAATGTTTCAGTCTAAAAATATGAACTCTTGATAGAAACCATAAGTGAAGAATATAGCTTGTTACCTTGTTTTGAAATTTTATTTCCAGTTAATTTTTTTTTCCAGCCATCTACATTTTTCAAAATATCAGAACAGAAAGGGCACAGCTAGTATTTACTGCTAATGCCTAGTATGTGGAATCTGATTTAGTTTTCCAGAATTGACTTTTTGGGTTGTATTGGCAGATCAGTCTCAAATGATGACTGTTGAGTGATGCACTACACTTAAGTGAAATTTCCTGAAAATATCCCCACAAATAAGGGGAAATCAGTGTTGTTGTCGTGTGGATTCACTAAAAGTACATATTTTAAGAACTGAAGGCATTTCCAGCAGATGAAGTTCTTGATTCGGCAGCAGGAACATGAACCTGTGATTTGGAAGACTTGACCTTTAGCTGCTCCAGATCCCATGACTGTGGGAAAATGGGCCTCAGTTCTCTTTTCTATAACATAAGGACACTGGACGATTTGAATTTGAAAGTTAAAAGAACTCCTAAAGCCTTGCAAGACAGAGTTCGGGAATGTTCCCCATTGCTGTCATTTTTCCTCCAAAAATAACCTGGCTTGGAAGTCATTGGTTGAAAGGGAATTTGACTCCCCATAGAAACTGGAGGAAAGGTGACACAAGTGAAGAGGGACAGCTGTATTTCTGCCAGAGTATTAAGCCCACCGAAAGGTTCTGGTACGGATTGTGGAGACATAAAGAGAATGAGTGTATGTACTTTAAGTGTACCAGTTTCCTCAATCTCACCTGGCAGAAGATGCAGTACTTATGGTGATGCTGGGATTCTGGGGTGTGTTTCCATTAATTCAAATACAGATGAAGATGATGTGGTAGAGGGAAAGATGGTGGCAGAAGGAGCGAATAAAGAAACAAAATTGCCTGCAAAAAAGAAAAGAAAGAAGGGTTTGCGAATTAAGGGGAAAAGACGCCGAAAAAAATTGATTCTTGCCAAAAAGTTTAGTAAGGATTTGGGATCTGGGAGACCTGTTGCCGATCCCCCTGCTTCGTTAGCTTCCGGTGACCCTGAGCAAGATGAAGAAAGTCTTTTTGAAGGCAATATAGAAAAGCAGATCTATCTGCCTAGTACCAGAGCCAAAACCTCCATTGTGTGGCACTTCTTTCATGTTGATCCCCAGTACACCTGGAGAGCTATTTGTAACCTGTGTGAGAAAAGTGTCAGCAGGGGTAAGCCAGGCAGCCATCTTGGTACATCTACTCTTCAAAGACATCTTCAGGCAAGGCATTCTCCTCACTGGACTAGGGCCAACAAGTTTGGAGTCACTAATGGGGAAGAGGACTTTACCTTGGACTTATCATTATCTCCTTCTTCTCCTGGAAGCAATGGGAGCTTTGAGTATCTTCCTACTGATTCATTAGATGAAAACAGAATGGGTAAGAAACGTGATAAATCAGCATCTGATGCTCTGAGGGCAAAAAGAGGGCGCTTTCTCATCAAAAGCAACATTGTCAAGCATGCCTTAATTCCCGGAACGAGAGCCAAGACATCTGCAGTTTGGAATTTTTTTTATACTGATCCTCAGCACATCTCAAGAGCTGTGTGTAACATATGTAAAAGAAGTGTGAGCCGTGGTAGGCCAGGTTCCCACTTAGGAACTTCAACACTTCAACGACATCTTCAGGCTACACATCCCATCCATTGGGCTGTTGCCAACAAAGACAGTGGTGCTATTGGAAATGGACTGGATGAGACTGAGACAGAGAGCAGTGATCTCTTGAATGATACTTTGCATGGAGAGAAGTCATCAGGCAGCCAGGATTTAACAACGGAGGACCTCAGTGATTCTGATACAGATGAACCTCCTATTTTAGAGGTTGAAAATAGATCCGAGAGTCCTGTTCCTGTTGCAGAGCAAGATAATCTGGTGCACGCACAGGAGAGCGAAACAGCGACACATTGTGAAAATGCAGCCTCAAATCAGATAAGTCAAGCAGTTATTCAGATGATTGTGGAGGATCTACATCCCTACAAGTATTTCTCAACCCCAGCTTTCCAAAGGTTTCTACAGATTGTTGCTCCTGACTATAGATTGCCATCAGAGACTTACTTTTTCACCAAAGCTGTACCTCAGTTATATGATTCTGTTAGAGAAAAAATTTTCTTAACTTTAGAGAATGTTCAAAGCCAAAAGATCCACCTGACTGTTGACATATGGACTCATGACCCTTCCACTGACTATTTCATTGTGACTGTACACTGGGTCTCTTTGGAAACTGCATCTTCTCCCAGTAATGGTGGGACTCCCAATTTTAGAAAGTGGGCAGTACTTTGCGTTACAGGTTTAGCCAAAGACTGTTTGATAACTAACATTTTACAAGAACTAAATGACCAGATTGGTCTGTGGCTTTCTCCTAATTTCCTTATCCCTAGTTTCATTGTTTCTGACAATTCTTCTAATGTGGTACATGCAATCAAAGGTGGTGGCTTTACCCATGTGCCATGCTTCCTGCATTGTCTAAATATAGTGATTCAGGACTTCTTCTGTGAGCACAAAAGCATTGAGAATATGTTAGTGGCTGCTAGGAAAACCTGCCATCATTTTAGCCATTCTGTCAAAGCCCGCCAAATACTGCAAGAATTCCAAAATGATCACCAGCTTCCATGGAAGAATCTGAAGCAGGATGAAGCTGGCCACTGGATTTCTACCTTTTACATGTTAAAATGGCTTTTAGAACATTGCTACTCTGTTCACCATAGTCTGGGCAGAGCCAGTGGAGTTGTACTTACCTCCCTTCAGTGGACTCTAATGACATACGTTTGTGATATTCTTAAGCCATTTGAGGAGGCTACCCAGAGAGTGAGTGTGAAGACAACAGGATTGAATCAGGTGCTACCCCTAATCCACCATCTCCTCTTTTCCCTTCAGAGACTCAGAGAAGATTTTCAAGTCAGAGGTATTACTCAGGCCCTCAATCTGGTGGACAGTTTATCTTTGAAACTTGAAAGTGATGCCTTACTAAGTGCCATGCTCAAATCCAAGCATTGCATCTTGGCTACTTTGTTAGATCCTTGTTTTAAGAACAGTTTGGAGGACTTTTTCCCTCAAGGTGCTGATTTAGAAACTTACAAACAGATCCTTGCAGAAGAGGTTTGTAATTATATGGAATCTTCGCCTGGGGCCTGCCAGATTGCAAGCTCTGAAGCATCTGGGTCTTTAGTTAGATTAGGAACTGATTCGTTTACTTCTATAAAAGAAGGTACCTCCAGTGCAGGTTCTGTGGATAGCTCAGCCGCAGACAGTGTTGCTGTTGGGAGCAAAAGCTTCTTGTTCCCCTCTGCGGTAGCAGTAGTGGATGAGTACTTCAAAGAGAAGTATTCAGAGCTCTCAGGAGGTGATGACCCTTTGGTTTACTGGCAGAGGAAGGTGAGCATATGGCCAGCCTTGACCCAAGTTGCCATTCAGTATCTGAGTTGCCCCATGTGTAGTTGGCAATCTGAATGCATGTTTACCAGAAATAGCCACTTTCATCCAAAGCAGATCATGAACATGGACTTTGATAATATAGAACAGCTCATATTTCTGAAAATGAACTTGGAGAATGTTAACTATGACTATTCTACGTTAATTCTGAGCTGGGACCCTGAAAATAAGGCTGTTCAGAACAATGAAAAAGAAATACTACCTTAATTTCTTTTTCCTTTCCTACTTAAAATGGGCAGCTTTTGCTATATTACTATATCTTACTGCTGTTGTTACTATATGTAGTCATACTATTTATCCTTTAAAAAAATAGTTGGGTGTGGTCACAGTGCCTGTAGTCCTGGCTATTTGAGACACTGAGGCTGGATTATGACTTTAGTTCATGAGTTTGAGACCAGCCCAGACAACATATTAAGATCCTGCCTTACAAAAATGAAAAACCTGGGGAAATCCAAAATTACAGAAAGGCTGAAAACTCCACAAAGGCAGTGTAATGATGATAAAATGAAGGTTAACTTTGAAGACTTCACAGTTGTAACTCAGTGTAACTAATACCTATCAAAGTGTCATTTGTATTACTTGAGAGAGGGTAGTGTTAATGAGAAAATACAGTGCAGCCTTGAAGGACTTAGGCATTTCTGGTTGGTAGATTGAGCTAGTCATTGATTAGAGTAAAAACTTCTTCCACCATAGAGGATTTGGTTACTCAAAAATTACGATTTGTATAAATATAGTGAGTGATTCAGGACTTCTATGAGCACAGAGGTGTTTAGAATGTGTTAGTGACTGCATTAACATATTCTTTCCTTTCCCTGTCTTTTAATTTCTTTTAAAACCCCTGATGCATCTTGACAGAATGAAAACCCAGAAAATTGTTTCATATTTAGAAATTAACAATTGCCTCACACTAGTCAGTTTATAATGTCATATTATTGGGTATGATAGAATTGTCTTTTATATTTAGGATTGGGTCTATATAAAAGAGAACATTACAAAACAATTAGAAAAATTTTTGGTCTTTGAGTTGCTTTTTATAATATAGTACAAAAAACAGGGATTATATAGGTGCCTTTAAATAACCTGTTAGTAAAAAACATTAGATGTTTGTAAAAAAAAAAAAAAACAGAATTCAGAATGCAAGCCTTGTGAATGTGGCAGACCCCATATGAGTTTCCCAGAGAATATTTCTATAGCTTGTTCATTTTTTTCAAGGATGCTTCTGGTCCATAGCATGATGTTCCTAACTGCAGTTTAGGCGGCTGTATTTTTAACTGAGATGAGCAGTTGATACTTTACCATGTTAGGCATCATTGCTGAAATGAGTGAACTGTCTCAGTGGCCCTCCAGGTGCCTTTCCACTCCGAGAGTCTGATTTTGTGACTGAGTGGGAGACCAGAAATGATGACTTTTAGTAAGTCTATTAGACGTTTCAGACTGAATAACTAATGTAAGATCCCAATTTTTCCTTTTTTTCATTTTAGATTTGGGGATATTCCCTGCCCAAAAAATTCCTGGAAAATTGACTAGTATTAAGTGTGAGTAAAAGGTGTCCACTTTTTTTTTAAGTCTTGATTTTAGTTTTGTCTTGGATAGTATTTGGCAAGATTTAGCCTAGAAAGTATATAGTGTTTATTACATAAGAAGCAAAGTGGCTTTGTTACTGGGCTGGTTTTGAAACTCATTTCTGTGTATTAAAATAACTTAATTTTTTTTATTTTAAATTCTTAAATGGTAAACGTACCATTCATTATGAAGTAAAATTTCATCTCTCCCAAATTTACCCTTTTACTGACTGGAGTGAAGTCTTTAGCTCTAATCATCAGTTATCAGGAAGCCTTTGCAGGGCCAGCATTGAATGCCATGCCAGTGATGCTTGGGTTGATATAAAGGAAGAAGGATAAGCATCTTTAGCATCTCTGTGCTTCGTCCGAGCTGGTTCAGAATGGCAATAATGCTGCTCTGCCTTCTTCAGCTCGCTGCCCCACTCTGTAGTTACTCTGTAACTATACACTTCTACCTTTTTTGGTTAAACACTCCCTGACGATGATTGTTAAACATACCATAACATTGACATATATCTATCTATCAATACATCCATATATATGGATTTCTCTTCATCTTGATTTTGTGACTGGGTAAAATTTAGTAACATTAACTTCATGGTACTTTGGTATAAGAGTAAGTTCACTATTTTTATATTGAACCCAAATCTAAAGGCTTTTATATTATATTTTAAAAGGATAATTAACCAAATGTTTTATTTCTATACATTTGTGTGTGTATAAGCCTGTTAGTATATATTATATGGATATTATATACATAAAACACTTTATATTTTTACATACAGTATGCTTTTATTATACAGATAATAAAGATGGGGGAAGGTTTCTGTTTTTTTTTCTTAATAGGTGAAGAAATCTTGAAGACCAGAGATTGGATCTTATTGAAATTTTGGTGGTGTTTTTACTTTTTCTTTTTTTCGTCTTTTTATTTTTAAATTATATTGCTCAGCTATGGAAGATGGATTTTTTTTTTTATTCTTTGAATTTTAAGTTCATCTTTAAATGAACTTTTTTTTTTTGTTTTTTTATTTTTGTTTTTTGGTTTTTGATTTTTTTGAGGAGATAACTAATGCTAGCTGTCTCCAGTCTGACAGAGGTTATACAAATGGACTTAATCTTCCAGGAGTTGGGAGATGTTTTAAAGATGTTTTAAAAACACGTCCTGTGTTTCAATTGTGGCTGAGAGGTTTCCTTGGCAATGTGAGGAGAAAATTCTTTCTACCTCATTATTATTAATTCATGGATTGAGTGTTGGTTCGACCTACAGGCGTAATAGCTTGGAACTGAGTGAAGACACAGATGTCCCTGTTGAGAGCAACCAGCTAATGTAAGTGGGGATGGGACCTTATCCTGACAGGAGTACACTGTAATTTAAGGCATGCTGGGCTAGTGACAGACTCAAAAGCCATTGTCTACACTTTTATCTCTTGTAATTTTTTAAATAAGCTTTTAATTTTTTGGGTGGAAACTAACCTTTCTTCCTGGAGCTAAGGTGAAATATATAATTCTGTTTCCTTCAAGAAAAAAAAATCATTAATTTGTTACTGAATAGCTCCTTGTCCAGATAAGTGACTTTATTTTGTCTTTGTAGTAGCATGTATTTCACGATGTGGATGTGCCATAATCACTCATTGGGAGACATTGAGGGGTTTGGGGCTTTGACATCATTAACAAAAGCCCTGCATCCAGTAAGTTGATGCACATGTCTGTGTGAACTTAGAACCAGTTCATTCACAGAATAGTTACATTAATCAGATGAACTTCTAACAATTTACTGAACAACAGAGGCCTCCTTTATTTATGGAAATCTTGATTATGTACTTTTTAGTAAAGATAGCAAATCTCCAGCCACTTTGTTGATAAATCATTGTTGTATAAATGTTTTCGCCTTATTTTGTTAATGGTTTTTAACTTTTGTATTATAGGAAAGGTATTTTTACTCAGCATATTAAAAAAAATCAAGATTTCCATATACTGTATATTCATGTACTTAATATATCTGTATATTCAGATGCTGTTTCAGGATTACAGTAACCTGACATAACACTCTACAAGTAGGGAAGACTCCATCAGATGGGGCTTATCTTTCTGCTGACTGCACTTCTGGATTCTGAAAGTGCTTTACTCAAGTGCTCTAAGGATCTGACACTTCTGTATTATAGCACTTTAAGGAGACTTTCTCTCAAGTGATAACTTTTATTGTTAATTTCAAACTTTCTTACAACCAAATATATTGCCTTTTTGCATTGTTGATTTGTGTAGTTGCTTATATTCTGTGTTTAACCATTTTATACCTACCATATAATCAGGTAGAGCAAAACTCTTCCATTCTTTTTAATTTTTGGTTTGTGTGTGTGTGTGTGGGGGGGATATATGTGTGTATGTGTGTATGCATGTTTGCATATATGTGGGGTGCATGTGGAGACCCCAAGATTATGTTGATCTCACTGGTCTAGATCTCACTGGTTGTGTCTAGAGATAGTCTGGATAGATAGCTCATTTCTGGTGCTCCTCGGAACATTTCAGGGATAGACTTGTTAGATAAGGACTGCCTTGCCCACATAGCATTTTATGTGGGTTCTGGGTATCCAAACTCTGGCCATAATGCTTGCATAGTAAGCACTTTAACCCCTGAGCCTTCTCCCCAACCCTTCTATTCTTTTTTAAATTACCTTTGTTTTTCTCAACTATTGATAATGATTTTACAGATTCAAATTGTAGGGAGATACTTCCTTTGGTATTCTGAGTTGAATTCAAGGTGTTTATTATTTGGGTGGTGAATTGATTTCCTTAATCCTTTATTGTCCCTTATGAATTATTCAGGTCTTCTATTCCTGGTCACTGCTCAGCTTTTGGTTTTGTATTTAATATGGCTTTTGCTTCCTTCATTTTCTTCATCTTTTACAGCCCTACTCAACAGTTGTTACCTGAATGGGACAATTGTCCAGTTTTGGGGTTATATTTCTTATTTATAGTCCTGCTGTTTTCAGTACTTTCTAGTTAGTTCTTAGATTTGCTAGTCTGCAAGCATATAATTTGCAGGCACTGGATTGTTTTTGATTTGGTTTCCCCCAGCCCCCTGAAATTGTTTTTCTGTATAGCCTGTGTAACCCTAGCTGTCCTGGAACTCGTTTTTATAGACTAGACTGGCTTCAACTCATAGATCCATTTGCCTCTTCCTCCTGAGTGCTGAGATAAAAGATGAGCACCCTCATACCATGGACTGGTTTAGAGTTTGTTCTGTCTTATATTTGGGCTCCTCAAAGTCCTCCATGTACTAGACACTGGAATGGAGCCGAGCGATGTGAAGTGAGTATTCCTTTGTCTTGAGCAAGCTAGTAGTTTACTGTGGAGTGTGTGTGTGTGTGTGTGTGTGTGTGTGTGTAGTAGTAGTAGTAGTAGTTGTAGTAGTAGTAGCTACCTTGGAGAATGGCTGCCTGATATGTATAAAGTCATGGCTTGCCTCCAGTAACAGCATAAACCAAGTGTGGGTCTCGTACCTGTGATCCTTGATCAACCAGAAATAACCCTTAGTCCCTATCTCAGAAACAAAGGGAGAGGTGGAGGTAATTTACTAGTAGGGGGATTGTTTGCTTTGGAGTTTTGTGTGGTTTTGTCTTGTCTTTATTGAGACAGGGAGTCTCTTGTAGCTCATGCTGGCCTCAACTCAGTATGTAGCTGAGGATGACCTGTCTTCTGCCTCCACCTCCCAGTCCTGGGCTCACAGGCATGTATTACCATACTTGACTTTTTAACCCCCCAAGGTTTCTTTGTGGTGTGTGTGTGTGTGTGTGTGTGTGTGTGTGTGTGTGTAGCACATACACTTGAATCTGTGCAGAGGTCAGAGGAGAAGCTTGGATGTTGGTCTTGGTTTTCAACCTTGTTTCAGATAGGTTCTTGTTCACCTCTGTATGCCAGAGGAGATTCCTGGGATTCTCTTGTCTCTGCCTCCTACCTGGAATTAAAGGTTTCTGGGACTGACTGGCTTTACTGGCTTCTGGGAATCTAAATTTAAGTCTTCATGCTTGTGTGAGTAAGGGCTTTACCCACTGAGCTGTCTTCTAGCTTCTCCCTAGCCCTAATTGGAAATGAGTGTTGAATTTTGATTTGTTTATTTAGCTATTATACTTTTCTTTTTGATGCCATCATAAGCTTTCTGTTTTCAAGTCTTACAAAGATGACCAAGGATTATTTTTGTTGGTTTTTGTTGTTTTTGAAACAGGGTCTGTCACGGTTTAAATATGCTTGGCCCAGGGAGTGGCACTGTTTGGAGGTGTGGCCTTGTTGGAATGGGTGTAACACTGTAGGCATGGGCTTTAAGAACCTCATCCTAGGTTCCTGGAAGTCAGTCTTCCATTAGCAGCCTTCATTTTAGATGAAGGTATAGAACTCTTAACTCTGTCTGCCCCATGCCTGTCTGGATGCTGCCATATTCTCACCTTGATGATAATGGACTGAACTTCTGAACCTGTAAGCAGCCCCAATTAAGAATTGCCTTGGTCATGGTGTCTGTTCCCAGCAGTAAGACTCTTAACTAAGACAGGGTCTCTCTGTGTAGCCCTAGCTGTCCTGGAACTCAGACCTGGCTGGCCTCAAACTCCACCTGCCTTTGCCTCCTGAGCTCTGGGATTAAAGGTGTGTACCACCTGAGTACTTTGGGTTTTTATTACTGTAATGTGTTTCCTAATATTAAGACTCTCTTAGTTCTGAAATAAGCCTTTCAAGTCATGCAGTGTTACTCTTTTTACTGTATAATAAGTCACTTAGCTAATGCTTTACTTAGAGTATTTTCATTCTATCATAATTCTTTGTAAAAAATTTTTTGAGTTGAATATGTCTTGTGATCCCAGCAATTGGGAAGTAGAGACAGGAGGATAGCAAGTTTTATTGGCCTCCAAAAACTATATTAAGACCTCACCTCAAACAACAACATAAATGTTTGATTTTATTCTTTTTCTACTTCTACTAATTTTTGTTTTTGTTTTTGGAGACAGGGTTTCTCTGTGTAGTCTTGGCTGTCCTGGAATTCACTCTGTATACCAGACTGGCCTCGAACTCAGAAATCTGCCTGCCTCTGCCTCCCAAGTGCTGGGATTAAAGGCGTGGACCACCACCGCCCGGCCAATTTTCTTTTCTTTTCTTTTCTTTTCTTTTCTTTTCTTTTCTTTTCTTTTCTTTCTTGTTTGTTTGCTTGTTTCTTGAGACAGGGTTTCTCTGTATAGCCCTGGCTGTCCTGGAACTCACTCTGTAGACCAGGCTGGCCTTGAACTCAGAAATCTCCTTGTCTCTGCCTCCCAAGTGCTGGGATTAAAGGCGTATGCCACCACTGCCCGGCTAATTTTTTTCTTATTAGAATATTTGCTTCAATAGTGTATTTTCCAAGAATGAATTGAGTACATTGATGGTATACCTTTTGAGATTTTTTTTTTTCATATTTTAAAGACTTTTACATCCTGAGATTTCCATGAAATGTTTTAAAAGGCTGAGTCTCTGGTCTTAGTCTCCTTTAAGATCCATTGCCTGGTAGCTGAACTTATAGCTGAAAAGTCTGAGCTTCACTTTCTTTGTTTAGAAGTCTGCCACTGAAGCAAGCACTTCCCCATTGTCTCTAAAGGCAGGCAGCTCCATGTCTGCCCATGCTACTCCTCCTGCTTACCCAGGTTCCAGTTCTGGGGACTGAATTCCCTGAAATATTTTCACATAATACATCCTTTTGTCTCATGTTGATTTATCATTTAGTTAATTGATTGATTTTTCAAGGGAGGTGTTTTGCCTGCATGTCATCTATCACATGTCTGATGTCTGTGGAGTTAGTGGTGGCTGTGAGCTTCTGCAGAGTGCTGGGAATTGAACCCAGGTCCTCTGAAAGAATCTTGATCTGTGTTGACAGTCTTGGGCATATGCTTTGATGCTTTTTTTTTTTTTTTTTTTAAATTTATGAGTGCTCTGCTACTGTCGGCAGGCCAGAAGAAAGCATCAGGTCCTCTGGAAGAGCTGTTAGTGCTCTTAACCACTGCGCAGTCGCACCAGCCCCTTGCTTTGATTCCTACAGAAGCACCTTTAGTGGAATTACAGAGTCTCGGGTTTTGAACTTGAAGGTTTCTAGGTGTTGATTTCTTGTTAGAAGCAAGATGAAGGTGTACTTTGTTTTGTGCCGTTATTTGAGTGTTTATTGTAATTGTAGAATGGAATCATTTGATAATGGGTATATACATTTTAAAGATTTTGTGGCATGATTAGTTGATGACTCTTGTTGCTAACTTAGATCACTGGCTTGAAGGTTAGCTTTCATTTTGATGAACAATTCTTAGATTAAGATTTACTTTACTAATGAAAGATAAGATTGGCTTTGGGCTTGGAGTGGTAAGGCAGGGTTTAGCTGGTATCATTAGAATTTGTAGCGCTCCCCTTCCACATTCTCATGTGCTCTTACAGGATGTTTTCCTTCTACAGTGGCTTTCTTGCATATTTTGTGTGGGTTCATGCTAGTTGTTTATTCTCAGGGTCTACCCTGGAAGACTTCTTTGCCCCTTTGCTATCTTAGTAGCTAAACTAACCACTAGATCTTCCAAAGATGATTGTTTCAATAATTACTCTCCATTCAGGGATAGTTATATACTTCTGATATAACATGCTTATGAAGATGTTTGAGGTTTTCATTTAGGTGAAAATAACATTGGCAAGTATTTTACAAGTAATCTGTGTTCTATTCTAAAATGCAGCTCATGTGCTTAGCAATACTTACTTAAATTTTATACTGAAACAGTGAAACAAGCACCATAGAACATTCAAAAGAATAGGGCATAGCTGTCCTCAGCAAAAATTTTATATCACATATGGGAGCATCCAGTACTCATAAGTAGTTTGTTTATAATGCTCTGTGTAGTAAGCGCCTGCTAATACAATTCAAATCTAGTTTAACAGAGATGTATCGTTAGGCATTGGAGGAAAAGGTTGGAAGAATTAACCTGAAGTACTTTCACTGTCTCCCCTTTTTAGGATTACGTTTTAAAGACGATTTCTGTGGTTGTTGTCATTGGAAGATTAAGTCCATTTCAAGAGTACTTGGAGCTGGTCTTCACCTCGAGGAAGCAGTGGCTTGTTCCAGGAAGCCACTTTTGGCCTGAAAATTTACCCAGTATGCCTAATCAGGGAGAAGACTGCTATTTTTATTTCTATTCTACATGCACCAAAGTAAGACTGGCATCTCTAAATCAGTTCTTTCTGCAGTTTCTTAAATAAAATTAGCTAAGATTTCACTGCATTCTAAACTGTTTTTATGTTGCATCTTGCTTAGCTGTTATATTACCCGCTACCAGTTTATAGTAAAGAATCATGTACTAAGAACACATCACTTATCTTTTCCCCTCTTCATTTACATATAATTGTAATTTTCCCATGTGCCACAAAACCCCAAAATGCCCATGTTGTATAGTCATCATTCTGCCATAATTAATCTAGTCCAGGTGCCTCCCAAAGACTTTGGCCTCTGGCTCAGAAGCTTTGTTTTTTTTTTTTTTTTTTTTTTTTTTAAATTTTGTTTAGCTGAGTGAGTGAGTTGTATAATACTTATGGGAGCTGTTATGGATTAAATTTGACCTCTTCCATGTTTTCTGCTAGTAAGAATAGAACGCTATTTTTAAAAATATGCTTTTTTAGAGTCCAGAATGTCCTGTTTGTCTGCTTGAGTTTTTGGTAGCACTATTTAGGTCTGCATGTCATTTTCTCTTATTTCTTTAAGGCTAATCCTGTAAATTTGTATATTATAATAGCTTGTTCTAAAATCATTATGATAGTGTGTTTAAACGGATAAGTCTAGCTAAGCATGATAATAGAAATAGGAGGGTTGCAAGTCCATCCTGGGCCATAAAGCCAGACCCTGTCTTAAAAATCCCAGGGGTGTGTAGCTCAGCTGTAGAGCACTTGAAAGCATGCGGGTCCCTGAATTCAGCTCCTGACACTGCAATAGAAAAGCAAGAGTTTAAAAAGTGAGACTTTAATATCAGCAATTTCATTTAATATCAGCAGTTTATACAATAGCAGTTTGTGTTCAATAATAAAAGTAACTATTAGTCATATATTAATTATGCTTGCATCACTTGCAACAGCCTTTCAACTTCCCTTTTATTTTCTACCAAAAGCTGGAAAATATTGACATCAGGATCTGAAGCCATATTGAAGATGAATTACATGATGTTTTTAGGGGATATTTTCTTTCCTGAGAGTCCTTGTCTTTTTCAGCTCCTTAGTCAGTCACTCAGTAGGTTGAAGAGAGTTGGGTGTGATAGCACATGCCTTTTATCCCAGCACTGGGGAGGCAGGGACAGGTGATCTCTCTGAGTCCAGTACCTGCCTGGTCTACATAGTGAGTTCTAGATGTACAGAGACTGCATAGTGAGAACATGTCTCAAAAAACAACAACAAAGAAATAGGTTAAAGCTGAGGAGATAGCTCAGTCAGCGAAGGATTTGCATGTAAACATGAGAACCTGAGTTCAATACCCAGAATCTACAATTTAAAAGCCAGGCATGATGTCATGCAGTTGTTCTGGGGATGTAGAGAAAGGTAGGTCCTTGAGTCCCAGTCAGTCAACCTAAATCTGCATGGGGAATTCCAGGCCAGTGAGGGACCCTGTCAAACAATAAAAAGCAACAGGTTATTCTATTATAGATTGTTTTCAGATGATTGTTATTATTACATCTTATTTTCTGCCCTGCAGGTCTTTGCTTACTGGTGTGTTTGTTTAGGTTCTTGGACACTATTGTTATAGATATGTGCCACAGTCCTTTCCTGTTTTGTTTACAGGGTGACAGCTGCCCATTCCGTCACTGTGAAGCTGCACTAGGAAATGAAACTGTTTGCACACTATGGCAAGAAGGTCGTTGCTTTCGACAGGTGTGCAGATTTCGCCACATGGAAATTGACGTAAGTTTCCAATTTTTGTTACCATAGGTATACAGAATCAATAAAAAATATGAGGGCTAGTGAGGGTAGGGTGACTCAGTAAAAGCACTTAACTGCCAAGCCTGTTGGGGTTGTGGTAGATGCATACTGTTGCACATATGTGGAGGTCAAAGACTACCCTGACCTGTAGGAGTCAGCTCTAGTTCACAATGTATGTTCTGGAACTTGTGCTGAGATGCTTGCGGTTTGTGGCAAATACCTTAACCTGCTGACCCATGTTTCTGAGTTTTAAAACAGCTATAGGGGCTAGAGAGGTGGCTCAGAGGTTAAGAGTACTTGCTGGCTGGTCTTGAAGAGGACCACAGTTTGTTTTCCAGCACCTTTGGTAGCTCACAATCGTCTAACTCTACTTTTAGGACTCTGATGCCCTCCTAGACTTACAAGGTGTTTTGTTTTGTTTTGTTTTTCCCCGACCCACTTAAGGATAAATTACTATCATCTTCTATTTCCCGTTACACTGAGAGTTTTATACAAGCAAGGCATTTTCCTATACAACAGTAGCACAGCTATGAAAATTAGAAAATGAGAACTGGTAACACTTTTGTCGTCATGCAGGTTTGCGGCTGTTTGGTCACATCTTACATTGAAGGAACAGTTGCACTTATAGACTGCATTTGGTCTGTGATGCTCTATGAAGGAGCAGTCTGCACTCAGATAACGTGTGGTGTGTGATGTCTTAGTCTCGCCTTTATCCCAGGGCAGGGCTTAGTCTTTCTTGATCTTTCATGATCGTTAGTTGTAGGGCTGCTGTTCTGTAACATGATTTAGTTTATTTTTACATTTTCATTATTAAGTTACAATTGAATATGTCTCTTTTTTAATCGTATGTGTATGTGCTAGAATGTTTCTGTACCACATAGGTGCCATGCCAGCAGAAGTCAGGAGCTGGATCTCTTAGAGATGGTTGGGAGCCACGGTGTGGGTGCTGGGGATCGAGCCTGGGTTCTCTGCAAGAACAGTGAATGCTCTTAACCTCTAGGCCATCTCTTCAGCCCCCTAGGTGGTATATATTTCATGGGACATCACAAAAGCAATATTCTTTTCACTGTACATATATCATAAAGTGGCATGCAATTTCAGATTGCCCATTACTGCTGTTTAACTTTTTTCACAGTATAGTTACATTACTTTACTATAAAGTTTTAGTAATTAAAAAAACTATGTGTATGTTTGTAAGTGTGTACATATATGTGTGCATGTGGGGGTCAGAGGAGGACTTCACGAGTCACTTGTTCTACCGTGTGGCCCACAGAGATAGAACTCATCACCAGGCTGGACAGCAGGCATCCTCAGCACTGAGGCCTTCGTTTCACTGCCCCAGTACTCCAGATACTCTAGATGGCCCAGTTCCCACCTAACTGGATTTTCCCCAGGATCTGTTTGTGTTAGTGTGAATTACTGGTTTTCTGTTTTTGCTTAATGTGTTCTATCCATTATATTCCAATTATACCCATTATATTCCAGTTTAACGCATAAGAGGCCTTCAAGCTGACTTGTTTATTTGGGAGGGGCATTCCTTACTATTCCATCTTTGCTTTTTGGTCAGTAGAGCTTTTCCAGGCTTTTTAGTTTTTGTAATTTTCTTCCTCCTGCTCTAAAATCTGTATAAAGATGTATTGATTCCTTTCAGTGAAGAAAAGTAGATAGACACTAAGCTTTGGTCTGTCCCTGTTGCTTTTCAAGTCCTTAGTGGAGAGAGAAGTGGGTGAGATATAAATGAGCATGCATTGCTTTGGGTCTTCATATTGAAAGGCACAAATTCACATAGGTGCTTTCAGCTCATCAGTACCAGGGTTTAGTGTAGGTTTCTTTGTTATTGTTTTCTCAAAAGCAAGAACTGTTCTTGCCCTCCCTTCTTCCCCCTACCCCCTCCTCCCCTCTACCTCTCCCATTCTGATGTCACACGAAGCTACTGCTTCATAGTGTCACCCTAGCTCTGTTGTAAAGATCCCTTCTTCCTCATGCTTGGATTATACCATTCTGCTGAGGACATCTCACTCTTTCCACATCTTGGGTTCTGGTACTTTGTGCTGGGCCACTCCCTAATGTGACATGCTTCCTTACTCCGTTTACTTTCTGCTGGGTACCAGTTTCTCTCATAGGACTCTGTCTTTCTTTGATCCTCATTCCACACTGTTTGCATTAATACACTTTCTTCACTGCACTAGATCCCCTTCTGCAGAAAAGCCTTCCTTGACTCAACCTCTGAGGAGACCATCCCTGTTACAGTGTCTTCCCAATCCCTTATGGGCAGCACCTTACAATCTTGGTTTGGACTGCTTTATATTTTTCTTTCAAACGAATATGTGATTCCTTCAGAGTTGTTTTTCAGTTCAGTTGTTGAGGAGATTAGGAAAGAAGGAAGAGAGTGCATATGTAATTTTTATGCTTGGGCTTATAAAGCTGCTCCAATCTGGTTCCCAGTTTCTAGTTTTTTACCTGCTTTCTGAGTTGCCTACTGTGCAAGCAGTAAGGTGCTCGTTAAATTGAGATACTACTCTGCAGCTTTTGAAAGCTCACATTCTACCTTGGCATAACTCCTAGGAAGAATCTAAGACCAGGTCTCTAAAATATCACATCTAGGGGCTATCACAAGAGTAAGAATACACTTCACATCACAAGATAGACAGGTATTGGAGGTCTATGGAGTTGTTGTGGGTCTCTCTAGGCTTGCTTCTTCCTGTATTCTTTCCTCTGAAGTGGAAGGTAGCACCTCACTGCAGTGGTCTCCCATGGAAAGATGGAAAGTCCACTTAGAAACTCATTATGCGCCATCTGTCTTCTGTACCAAAATCCCAGACTCAGATGTTCAGCATAAACCATATCCTTGGTACAAAAAGTCTAGGCACGGTGAGTCTCTCTTTCCCCCACTCTGTCATTTAACTTGGAGATACTCCAAGAGTCAAGGTGTCAACCAAGCAAATTCATTCATTCATTCATTCATTCATTCATTCATTCATTTGTTTATTACACAGGTTTATTTCCCTGTGTCTGATGAGAACTAAATACTTCTACATTGTTCTCAAGTGGGGAACTAAGTATATCAGGACTACCACTGCAGCAGTTTGTAAAGTACTGGAAACAATGTAGCTTCCAGTGGCGGGGGTGGGGGTGGGGGGTGGGCATCAGTTAACACTAATAATGAATTAAAGGTGGACACGAATTTATTTTTTTATTTTTTGGTTTTTCGAGACAGGGTTTCTCTGTGTAAACCTGGCTGTCCTGGATCTCGCTCTGTAGACCAGGCTATCCTTGAACTCAGAAATCCACCTGCTTCTGCCTCCCAAGTGCTGGGATTGAAGGTGTGTGCCACCACCGCCCAGCTAAAATTTATTTACTAGTTCTTTGTTTGTTTGTTTGTTTGTTAAGACAGGGTTTCTCTGTGTAGCCCTGGCTGTCCTGGAACTCACTCTGTAGACCAGGCTGGCCTCGAACTCAGAAATCCGCCTGCCTCTGCCTCCCAAGTACTGGGGTTAAAGGCATGTGCCACCACTGCCCTCCTCTTGTAGAGTCTTGAGCATCTACACAGCAGCTTACAACTGTCTCAACTCCAGTTTCAGGAAGGCAACTTCCATGCCTTCTTCTGGATTCTTCTGAGCTTTGCAAGCACAAGGCTGGTACATGGTGCATGTACAATTCAGGCAAAAAACGTATACACAAAATACATAAGTCTAAAAAAAAAAACCCTTTTAAATAAAATAGAAAAGGGGAAAAAGTTGTACTTGTATTTGTTTGTGTGTGTATTTAAAAACTACCTGGAAGTATAAAAGAGACCTTTAGTCATGGTTATGGAGATGGAATGAGCTCTAAGAACTCTGTTCACAACATATCCTTACAGTCTATTTTCTCTACTGATGGATTCAGTAGTCACTAATGTGTCTGCTCGAGAAAGTGTGTGTGCAAGCCATGTTAAACACACCAGGCCCTTGATGTGTGTCTCCAGCTGAGGTGGAATGGATGACAAACTGCTTTCTGATTGAGCTCCCATACTACAGTCAAGTGTTCTTGATTGCTGGCTACTTGTTCCTATGCTCTTGGTTGATTATTTTACTTTTCGAAATTAGTAGCAGAAAAAGAAGAGACACCTTGACTGAGAAACAGGCCAACAAATAGTGCTAAAATGCTAGACAGTGTTTCTAATTAGAGAAAAGCTGTGATGTGCTTTACTAGACAATATGACTATTAGTAAGCCTTGTTCGGGATGAGTCTTGTAGTACTGTTGGTTGTGGGTTTCAAATACATATTAAATAGAGAAATCTCTCTCTTTAATTCTTTAATTTGCTTGCTTGCTTGTTTTTTGAGATAGCGTCTCTCTGTGTACCCCTGGCTGTCCTGAAACTTAGTTTGTAGACCAGGCTGACCTCAGTCTCACTGAGATCCACCTACCCTTGTCTCTCAAGTGCTGAGATCAAAAATTTGTACCAACACATGAAACAAATTTACATATTGGTGTATGACTGGCTAATGAAAGCTTTGTAGATTTAGAAGGAATGGGAACCTGGCTGTTTCCCTTAGAAGCATTGGTGTAGTATTCACAAATTCAGGGGCTAGGAAGATGGCTCACTGGGTAAATTAGTATGTGCTTTACAAGCATGGAGACTGCTTTTGAATGCCCAGCACCCACATAAAAAGTGGGCATGGCTTCATTTAGGTACAAGTGCAGTGTTGGGAGCAGAGACAGGATCTGGGGAATTGGCTGGCTGGTCAGCCCGGCTGAAATCAGCTTCAGCTTTAGTGAGAGAGAGACCCTGTCTAAAGTGTAGTCAGGTAGAGTGCAGTAGACGATATCTCCTGGCCTGTTCTAGCCTCCACGCAAATTCCTGCACATGTGTGCACATTTAGTTCACACTTGTAGCAAAGGAAAATGAGGCTGGCCAGGCGTTTGGTTGTCTGTGCTCAAAAGGCCCTTAAGTAACTTAACTGGAAGGAAAGTTATTATAATATCTCTTACTCCATATTCTAAATGACTATATTACCCTGTTTTTCTTCATCAAATGTGAGCATTTAGAGCTTTCAGGATGGAAGACCAGCTCACTCTCTTCTACCTCTCCATATGCCTACTCATCACATTCAGCAGCCTCTCTTGCTAAACGTGGCCTCCTGTGTCACACTTTAGAACTCTTAGAAAACCAATCACAAAATTAATTTAAGACTCACTTCACTTTTTATTTGAAAACAATGTGTTCTCTTTTACAGAAAAAACGAAGTGAAATCCCTTGTTATTGGGAAAATCAGCCAGTGGGATGTCAAAAACTAAACTGCGCTTTCCATCACACCAGAAGTCGTTATGTTGATGGACTGTTCCTACCTCCAAGCAAAAGTGAGATTGGTTTTGATTCTAAAAGAGAACAGTTGCTATTCAGTGAGCACCTTCTATTCACACTTCTGTTAGTCCGGTGGGAGCTGTACTATTTCTATTGTATAATGTGGAAACAAAACCTTATAGAGATTAGGTGATAAGTATGCACAGAGAGGACCAAATGTTTCTTGTCATGTCAGATCATATTACTATAGTTAGTTTAATTTTTATTTTCTTACCAAACTTTTAGATGTTTTAAAAAGAAACTTAAATCTCCAGACCAGGGGTTGGTAAATTGGGTCCTCTGCCTGTTGTATAAAATGAAGATTTAGTGAATCCATATTTTCTGTGGCCGGTTTTGTGTTAATACTGCAGAGTGAACTAGTTGGGATAGAGACCGTTTGACCCACAAAGCCAAAAGTCCTTGCCATCCAGCTCTTGTGTGGAGACAGGGTTATGCACTGTAGCCTGACTTGGCTTAGAACTTGTGACCCTCCTGCTTCAATCTCCTGAGTGCTGGGTTGATTATAGTCATCACCATAGCACTTCATGGACTAACTAGTCCAGCATTTTATAAAGGTATCGCAAATTAAAAATTCTTAATGGAGGCTACCTAAACATATGTTTCTCCTGTTGTTCCAGGGCTGAGGATCTACCACTCTACTATATCCTAGACAAGCCCTCTACCACTCCACTGTATCCTAGACAAGCCCTCTACCAGTCTACTACATCCCCAGACTTAATATCAATCTTAATCCACAGAAATCTGTGCTTTATTTTCAAAGTCCCTTTTAAAATAATTTTTATTTATGATAGTGGAAGGTGGCTGTGATTTTATTACTTAGAAGGCTATGGCAGGAGGAACATAAGTATGAGGGCCAGCCTGGGTTACATAGCAAGACTATTAAAAAAAAATCCCAGCCAGGAGGTGGAGACAGGTGGTCTCTGTATGCATTTTTCTGTTGAGCAAATAAATTGTAGAGTCTCAATTATAAAAAGGAATGATGTCTGGTATTTAGAAGTAACTCTTGGGGTTATTGCTTTCATTGCCTACCATCTGCTTATCTCCAGTAAAGTAGTCATTGGTTCAAAAATACTTTTATCTTCATGGAGACTTTAGAATGAAACTGGGAAAATTAGGTTTAAAAAACCATACAGGCTCTAAGAAAAATGTGCCAAATTTATTGTAAAGGACAGGGGTGTTTGTTGAGTAGAGATTATAGTTCTCTGTTCTAAATTTATGTCTGGTTTTGTATGTTTAGCTGTGTTACCCACTGTGCCTGAATCACAAGAAGAAGAAGTAAAGGCTAGCCAGCTCACGGTTCAGCAGAACAAATTGTCTGTTCAGTCTAACCCGTCCCCTCAGCTGCGGAGTGTAATGAAAGTAGAAAGTTCAGAAAATGTTCCCAGCCCTACACATCCGCCTGTAGTAATCAATGCTGCAGATGATGATGAAGATGACGATGGTATGTTTTATCTGTGATGAACTAGACAGGAAAGATCAAAGCTCTAGACTTGTTCTTATTGGAGGTTTGTCTTACGTGTGCATATACAGATCAGTTTTCTGAGGAGGGCGAAGAAAGCAAAACACCTGCCCTGCAACCAACTCCTGATGTTCATAATGGATTACGAGTGGCTTCTGCCCGCAAACCCGGAGTCAGTTTAAAACAAGGTAGGAAGAGGCTGTCAGGTTTCAACCCTTGAAGTATCACTGACTGTTGTTAACTACCATTGGCATTTAGAGCACAGCCATTAAGCTCTCTTTTCCTAGCAGATGTGCTGTGCTTATAGAATGTGTACTTCTTGTAAGTCATTTACTCAAAGCTTACTTGAATGCTTGCAGCAAAATACAAAGAAAAAGGCTGTAGTTCCTCATGTGGTTCCCCCTTGGGTTTCTCAGGTGAATGTTTGAATTTTGGAATAAAAACTCTTGAGGAAATTAAATCAAAGAAAATGAAGGAAAAATCCAAGAAGCAAGGTGGTAAGTCATCACAAATTTTGGCATGAATACTTGCATGTTACCAGATAAGAACAATAAAGATTCTTCTGGGAACAGCCAAATTCAGCAAATATAGACTCTTATTTCTGTGGCTTGTTTGAAGTGAAACAAGACTATTAGAGGTATTTCAGTCCTCACTGTTCAGAGATAAGTCTGTATAATAACTTAAAAACCTGTTTATCTTCAAATTGATTGATAGTTTATTTGAGCTAGGGTTTCTCTGTGTAACCTTGGCTGTCCTGGAACTTACTGTGTACACCAGGCTGGCCTTGCGCTCATAGAGCTCTGCCTGTCTCTGCTTCCTGAGTGCTGGGATTAAAGGCATGTGCTACCATGCTGGGCTAATATCTTGAAATATTTAACTGTAAAGGACAACAGTTAAGGGCCATATTAAGGGGCTGGTAGAGTAAAGTGCTTTCTACACAAGCCTGAGAATCTGGTCTATCTCTAACCCAAAAGCCAGATGTGGTGATGTGTGCTGGTAATCCTGGTTCTAGTGGCAGGAGGATTGCTGGGTTTGCTGGCCAGGCTAGTTAGTCTAAGTATTCCCTAGGTCCTTGTAAGATACTGCCTCCTGAGGAATGAGGAGAAATGGCAAACAACCTACTAAAAGAACATGTATGTCATTAGGCACAAGAGGCTTCTTAAGATCTACAAAGATTTTTTTTGTTGTTGTTGTTGGAGCTTTCTTGTCTCAACCTTGTTAGTGTGTATTTCCTACTCGAAAAGTTGTAGCTAAGGTAATAAAGAGAGATATACTACATAGTGTAAATAGTTGGTTCTGAGAAGTTAGTCCTTAAAGCTTACTCTGTAGGAACTTTGTTTTGAGGATGATAATTATTCAGGTGGGAACACTGAGATTGCCAAGGCTGATAGCTAACCATGCTTCTGCCTTACCTCTAGAGTAGTGTTAACCTCACAGGTAAGCAGAAGACTTAGTGTCTACCTGAGGGAGACAGCAATTAACAGACTCTTGACTTGAATTAGCCTTACTTCCCACAGGTTATTTATTTGCCTTTTTTCATTCAGAAGGCTCCTCAGGAGTTCCCAGTGTTTTACAGCAACCTCAGCCCAATCCAGGCCCTGAGAAGGAGAATGTTCGGACTGTGGTGAGAATGGTAACTCTATCAACCAAACCAGGTAAGCTAAAAGCAGGTCTCAAGAGTTGTTGCTTTAGGTACTTGGCAACACAAAAACAAAAGCCTTGGGTGATACATTTGTTTACTTTGGAGTTTTAGGAGGACTTGAAACATTTTGATCAGATATGACGTTGAAAAATAGGTACATTTGACCTGTTGTTTAAAAAGTTGGAATTTTTAGTCAGGTAGTCTCACAATATGCATCTAATTTAACATTTTCTCTTTGTTTCAGTAAGTTTATTGACTGCTCATTTTGAGTAAAGAATGTTTTTACATCTTTAGAATGATAGAAAAATGTAGATCTTTTTAATAAATTGTTTAAAATCTAATTAGAAATTATCTTGGTTTTGGGTTACTGTTGCTATGACTAAATACTATGACCAAAGCAACTTGGGGATGAAAGAGTTTAATATGCTTCCACATCACTGTTCATCATCAAAGGAAGTCAGGACAGGAACTCAAACAGGGCAGAACCTGGAGGCAGGAGCTGATGCAGAGGCCTTGGAGAGGTGCTGCTTACTGGCTTGCTCCTTGTGGCTTGCTCACCCTGCTTTCTTATAGAACCCAGGACCACCAGTCCAGGAATGGCACCATCCATAGTATGCTGGGCCTTCCTACATCAATCACTAATTAAGAAAAAGCCCTAGAGCAGTGGTTTTCAAAATTCTTTTTTTTTCTTAATTTATTTATTATATGTAAGTATTCTATAGCTGTCTTCAGACTCCCACAAGAGGGCATCAGATCTCATTACAGATGGTTGTGAGCCACCATGTGGTTGCTGGGATTTGAACTCATGACCTCTGGAGGAGCAGTCAGTGCTCTTAACCACTGAGCCATCTCACCAGCCCCCTCAAACTTCTTAATGCTGAAACCATTTTAATACAGTTCCTCATGTTGTTGTGACTCTCAGCCATAAAATTATTTTCATTCCTACTTTATAACTGTAATTTTGCTACTGTTACAAATCATAATGTAAATATCTCATATGACACCTGTGAAATGGTCATTAGACCCCATCACTGCCACCAAGGGAGGGGTTGCACCCTACAGGTTGAGAAATGTTGCCCTATAGGCTTGCCTTCAGCCTGGTCTTATGGAGATATTTTGCTAATTGATGCTCCTGCCTCTCCAGTGACTTTAGCTTGTGTCAAATTGACATAAAAATATCTAGTACAGTAATATAACACAGAAGAAATTGTACATTTAAATGTTCCATTTGAACAACAAACATTTGGAAGAAGGCTTACTCTCTCTAGTGATAATGTTAGATAACTTTTCAAGGTACACACAGGATAGCTTGACCAAGACCAAAGCCTCTTTCCTTGTGTTTGACTGCTGTTAATAATTCCATGCTGTTGCATGTTTATTAGACTATTGATTATTGTCTTGTCAAATAAGACTGAGACCTGATTTTCAGAATAAATCCTTAATGGGCTCATATGAATGTAAAGTAGTATCCTCAATCAAATAATTTTTTCTTTATTTCTGCCATTTCAGAAGAGCCCTTGGTTAGACTGAGTCTTACTGAGAGACTGGGGAAAAGAAAACTTGCAGTAGGTGAGTTAGATCTTGTGTACTTTCTGTCTGTGTGTTCGTGGATTAACATGTTCCTTGTTGAGACTCTTTTTCCAAGCATCGTCAGTACTGACATACTGGTTGGTCTGCCTGGATTTTTGACTGACAACATTTGTAAAATTTCATATGTGTGTTATACCTTTCATTGACGCTACAGCAGTTTAAAGCATTATAACTTAATTAGATTATAACTAACCTTTTCTTTTTGATTGTGAGCCTGTTAATGGCTAAGCCATGTCCAGCCCATGGCTAACCTTTTAGAAGGTCCTAGGTTTAATAATTACAGGTTTGAGCCAGGTATGGTGGCATGTACCTTTAAGCTCAGCACTCTGGAGGCAGAGGCAAGAGGATCTTTGTGTGTTCAAGGCCACCTTGGTATTTATAACTATTCTAGGCCAGCCAAAACCACAGAGAGACCCTAGTCTAAAAAAAAAAAAAAAACAGAGAGAATTTTTTTTTGTTTTTATGGTTTTCCTAATGTTTCCCTATTACTCCTCCCCTTTTGGCTAGCAAATACAGAAAGGCTGATTGTATTATATAGTCAGGCAGCAGTCTGGATTAAACTTAACTGATCATAGAAACAAAAGAATCAGAACCTTAGATATTTTTAGTTGGTTAGTTGTGTCCTCCTCCTTCCTCCTCCTTCTCCTTCTTCTTTCTCCTTCCCTCTCCTATCTTTCCATCTACTTTCTCTTTTTAGGGCAGGATTTGATCATCTAAAAAGACCATATTCTAGAAGCTGGATTATAGGCATGTGATACTCTACCCAGTTTATGGAGTGCTGGGTATTGAACATAAGGCCCTGAGAGCCACAGCTCTGGCCAGAGCCTTGGATTTCTTATCTGTAATGTGACCTTCAGAGTTTTCATACCCCAGGAAAAATTAGCACTCAAAAATTATTTTACTATCTTTCTAAATTTACTATAAATTCAGAGTTTGGTAATATCTTAGTTGGGTTTCTATTGCTGTGATGAGACACCATAACCAAAAAGTAAGTTGGGGAGGAAAGAATTTATTCATCTTTCACTTCCATATCTCTGTTTATCATCAAAGGAAGTTAGGGTAGGATCCTGGAGGCAGGAGCTGACACAGAGGCCATGGAGGGTGCTGCTTACTGGCTTGCCCCTTGTGACTTGTTCATCATGGTTACAGAACCCAGGACCATCAGCCCAGGGATGGCACTTCCCATGGTGGGCTGGGTCCTTCCTCTTCAGTTGGTAATTAAGAAAATTGCCTCAAATGAGGTTCCTTTCTTTCAGATAACTAGCTAGTGTCAGGTTGACATAGAATCATCCAGCACAGGCAGTAAAGACATTGTTGTCTTTGAGCTTTAGCTTCAGCCAGGGCTTAGGATTCGGTGTGTAATGTTAGTAATGTTTTCAAAATTTATTCGTGGTTTTGTTGTTGTTGTTTTGTTTTTGGTTTTTTATCTACTAATTTTTTTCTTTCTGGGACATTTTGGTTTTAATATTAAATTCTAGGAAGTTTGTGGACAAACACCATTTAAATGAAGAAAACTTTCAGTGGTTTGTTTGTTTACTTGTTTTTGTTTTGGAGACAGGGTTTTTCTGTATAGCTGTGGCTGTCCAGAGTCCAGATCTGGAATTCAGAGATCTGTTTGCTTCTGCCTCCCAAGTGCTAGGATTAAAGGTGTACACTACCACCGCCTATCCTAGAATATTTTAAATTGTCTATTTTTGGTTTTGTTTTTTACTTTGTTCAAGATCAAATCTTAAAGTGAGTCTCTCTCTATTTGTAGGTGGTGATAGTGATCCCCCATTAAAGCGAAGCCTTGCACAGAGGCTGGGAAAAAAAGTGGAAGCACCAGAAACTAACATTGATAAAGCACCAAAGAAAGGTAAGTACTTTGATTCTTTTAGACATTTCGTGCCTGTTTGTAATTATAACAGGTATGGATCCTCATTTTTTGCTCAGGGGCGTTAGGTACCTATTTATTACTCAACAAACATTTGAGTGTTTGCTAATACTAAGTAACTAACATTTAACAAAACAGTTGTCAACAATCACTGGAGTTCATAGGCTCCTGAAAGAGGAATATTCAAGATATTAGGATAAACACTATCATAGGAGAAAATGCATGATCCTGTGAGAGCACATGGGGAGCACTCAGCAGAGGTTCAAACTCAAAATCAGGAACTGGCTAGGTGAAGTTAGAAGACCAGTGTTTGCTAGTTTTAAGTCAACTTGACACCGTCTAGAGTTGTTTTGAAAAAGCTCAATTGAGATAAACAACGTCCCCCCCAAATTGACCCATGGGCAAGCAAGTGGTACTTTTTTTAAATTGACGATTTAGGTGGGAAGGCCCATACCGTTGAGTGGTGCCACCCCAGAGCTGGTGGTACCTGTTACTATAAGAGAGCAAGTCGGGCATGCCATGGGGGTCAGTCCAGTAACTAGCACTCCTCCATGGCCTCTTTATCAGCTCCTGCCTCCAGGTTCCTGCCCCCACTTTCCTCAGCAGTGGAGTGACCTGAGAGTTGTAAACTGGAATAAACCCTTTCCTCCTCAAGTGGTTGATGGTCGTGGTGTTTCATCACAGCAGTAGAAACTAACTAAAACAACCAGGTTTGTAAAGAATGACTTGTGTAGAGTCAGAGAGCCAAGGAAGTGAAGTACACTCAAGGATCGATAACAAGGGGAAAAGAGGAATTGGTTATATAGTCTTTTAAAGCCATGTTATAAGAATGTGAGCTTATCAAGTACAATGACAGACTAAAGGTTATTTTACAGTTATCGAGCTGGTAAGTCGGCTCAGCTGGTAATCGCACTTGCCACAGTGTGGTGGATGACCTGTGTTTTAATCCATGCAGCAGCCATGGGGAGGAGAGCCGGTGCTGAAGGTGTCCTCTGACTCACACAGGCCTTAGTGAGGCACATGTGCCTGTATTCACATACACACAATAGTAATAGTAACTAAATTAAATATCAGAAAGGCATGGGAGTAGTGCCACATGCCTTTAAATCCTAGCACTCACACAGAGGCAGGAGGATTTCTGGGAGTTGGAGGCCAGTTTATTCTATATAGTGAGTTCCAGGACTGTCAGAGCTATGTAGAGAGACTCTGTCTCAAGTAAACAAAAAACAAACAAAAAATCCTAAGGAAAAAAAATATTAGGAAGGAATCAGAAGGTCTGATTTGCATTTTAGACCTGGCTTGTGTTATTGAGAAACAGTAGAAGGCAAAGTGCTAGCTGGGATATGAGCTGTTAAATAACCCAAATAGGGCTGCAGAGATTGCTCAGTGGTTAAGAACACCCATAACTGCCTGTAACTTTAGCTTCCAGGGATCTGATGCCCTCTTCTGGCCTCTGCTGGCACATGTACATATATGGCATAGACATAGAAGTAGATAAAAGTCAACCTTGAAAAGATCTAAGATCGGTCAAGTAAAGGGACATAATGGTACAGATGAGTGTTTCAGTCAGGGTACTCATGGTATTACAGTCTGAGAAGGAGAGAAGTCCTAGGCAGATTTTTTCCCCCTACTTTTCTGACTTAAGTGAAATGTTGGATTAATGCCTGAGGAGTAGATGGAGATTTTTGTTTTTGTTTTCTTGTATGTAAATGTTGAGGTTCAGGAACTACCACACAAACCATACCATCGATCACTGGTCTCAGTTAAGCAAGAGTAGTTTGTTTTTTTGTTTTTGTTTTTTTTAAGATTTATTTATTTATTATATATGAATACACTGTAGCTGTCTTCAGACACACCAGAAGAGGGCATCGTATCTCATTACAGATGGTTGTGAGCCACCATGTGGTTGCTGGGATTTGAACTCAGGACCTCTGGAAGTACAGTCAGTGCTCTTAACCACTGAGCCATCTCTCCAGCCCCGCAAGAGTAGTTTATTGAACATATATCCTAATACTGATCCATCAGGACCACAAGGAGGAATTGTGGCACTAACCTGTCCTCAGGGCAGACTTTTTTTTTTTAATGTGCGTTGGTGTTTTGCTTGCATATTTGTGTGAGGCCATCAGATCCTCTGGAACTGGAATTATAGACAGTTGTAAACTGCCATGTGGGTGCTGAGGAGAATGTACAGAGCCTTTACCTAATACCCACATCTCAATTAAATTGGCATTGTGTGAAAGCAGTCAATAACGTCTGTGATATACATACTGTCACCACTGCCACCCCATTGGTGGCCAGGTTGAGCTAGCTAGTTGAGCAGCCATTCTTTCCTCCTTCCCCACTCCCTGCACATCCATATGCAGATGCACACTTGATCCAAGTGGATGATCTTCCCCAATAAAAGAATGTTCTTTGGTTAAGAGGTGTGCAAATAGCTGTGCTGCCCTATTACAACCTCCAAGCAGAAAGATTTAGAACAGATTTTTTGAAGTGAAACGATTGAGGAGCCTGCCCGCCTTTAATACCAGTTCTTAGAAGATTGAGACTGGGAGCTTAAGGCTAACCTGGTCTACATAGCAAGTTCCAGGCCAACCAAGGCTACATAGTAAGCCCTGTCTCAAAGAACAAACAAAAAGATGGAGAAAATTGTACAATAGTAATAATTTTCTGAATTCAGTAGCTTTTGCACATGTAGGCATGCATGTGTGCATGTGTGCGTGTACAGGCACAGCATTCATGTAGTGGTCAGAGACAGCTGTGTGAACTTGCTTCTCTCCTCCCCCCTAACATGGGTTCTGGAGGTCACACTTGGATGGTGAGGCTTTGTCTGCTAAACCACACAATGCCCTAAAAGGTTCTTGTTTTTCTCCCTTTTTGGAGTCAGAAGAGTTCTGAGGGAAAAAAACATTTAAGAACTTGGAGATGGGTAGTTGGTTGGTTGGTTTGGTTTGGTTTTTTGAGACAGGGTTTCTCTGTGTAGCCTTGGCTGTCCTGAAACTCAATTCGTATACTAGGCTGGCTTCTGCTGGAACTAAGAGTGCACTAAGGCCACCACTTCCTGTCAAGAGTTTTTTCTTTAATTGCATTAGAGGTATGGCCTAATTTGTAAACATTGAAAAGATATTTGACCTATAAAAATTTGTATTTTAGCTTTTTAAATTTTGAAACTTTTGATAGTTGAAGTTTCCAATCTCTGAAGGAGTGATTAGGCCTGTCTGCTTATTAGTCCGGGGGAGGCAACAGGTCCTTAAACAGAAGACCAAACTCCTTGCTGCTATCTTCTTTTTCTTCTGATTCACCTGTACAGTTAAGTTAGAGCTTGTATTTATGGATGGATGTGTGTGTGTGTTGTGTGTGTGTGTGTTGTTATTTAAAGATAGGAAAATATGTGTTCATTAAAATATTAAGAGGAAATCCAATAAGGGGGAATACAATATTATATCGCTGTCATAGGAAGCTGTCATAGGAAGTTAGATTCTAATAGGCTAGATATGTAGCTCAATTCACAAGGGTGTGCATGGTCCCTGGGTTCAATCAGCAGTATTGGGAAGGGAAGAAAGAAGTCATTTTCTAAGCAATATAAAACTAGTTGCATCTCATCAGATAACAAGGATGTGAACAGAACACATGACACTCTTTATCTGTTATGGCAACATACAAACCTGTTGGTTTTTGTGTGCGGACATCTTGATAGGCACCTTACTCCCAGTACTTGGGAGACAGGCAAGTAGATCTTTGGGAGTTTGAGACCAACCTGGCCTACACTGTGAGTTCCAGGGCAGCAGGGCTATGTCAAAAAAACAAAAAACAAATAAAGGATTTTTTTTTTTTTTTATATTCTCAAATTCCTGTTTAATAGTGGGAACTACATGAGTGTGTGTGGGTGTGTGGGTGTTATGTATTGTATAAAGTGAATATCCATGTGTTCAAATACTCTGCTTTTATTGTTGTTTGTGGTGCTGTAGTTTGAAACCTAGAGCTTCACACTTGGCTAGATAGGCTAGATAAATAATCTGTGTAACATTGTTCTTCTAGCTTTGCTTGATGCCATTCAGGATCCAATGTGATAGTTTTTGTATAAGACAGTTTTAAATTTCATATCCCTGCTTTGAATGTTAACCTGTATGTTCTCGTTCTCACCTCAACTGATTTCTGTATTATTTTATGTTAGCATCCTTAAAAAAACAGTCTGATGATATCTCCTTATTTTCTTGTGAGGAAACAACCACTATCACCACTCTTTTCCTAAGACAAGTTCTCAGTCCTGTAGTCCAGATCCAGACTGGCCTCAGGTTCACCACTCTCCTGTCATAGTTTCCCAGGTGCTTGGCGGGATTACAGATGGGAGTTATGCTCAGCCTTATTCTCCAAAACACTGTAGTTATCCCATGTCTATCTCCCTGACACGGGATAACTTCACTCCGGTGAATGCAAACACAGATCTTCCTTGGCAAGCCAAGAGTTCAGTTGGCCCTTTGATCTAACTTGTCTTCTCTGTTTTTCTTAAGTCCACGTAGCTCTGGAGTAGCTCACTGCCAGAGAACTTGACTGGCATGGTGGTGCCCTTGGTTTGATCCCTGCTACTCTTGAAAACAAATATTTTAGGCTTTGTGGTCCATAAGTGGCAGTTACTCAGCTCTGCCATTGTGGTGTGAAAGCAACCATATGTGAGTGTGTAATGAGTGAGTGGCTGTGTTCCAAGGAAACAGTTCACAGAACTAGGTTACAGTCAGATTTGGCTTATGGGCTGGAGTTTGCTTACACTGTTTTAAATGGCTGATTGACTTTTTGCATTACTTAACTTTTCAAATGAATTTTTTTTAACATTTATCTTCAGAAGATTTTTGTTCTGGTTCTTTGTTTTTTGTTTTTTTTTTTCTTCCCCTACAGCTTAAATTTTTGTAGGCTGCTGTGGAGTTTTCTAATGAATCCATTTTGTTTGCTTGCTTTAGTTTTGTTTCTCTATTTGGTTTTGAGATGCTGGAAATCAAGCAGGGCCTGTGCATGCAAGTAGTCTTCAGTGAGGAGTGTCCTCTGTCCCAGTCCTTAAATATCTGCCTTAGTGATTTCTCCCATAGTTCATAGTTCATTTTTGCTTTTGATGTTTATTAACCAAGGCCTGGCTGTTAACTCTGCTGTTGAGTAGAATAGTGTTTATCTAGTCTTTTAGAGTTACATCTACAGTGTTTACACTTTACTGCAATAGATTCCTCTCAGAAATTCTCAAAATTGCTCTACTATGGCATTATTCTTTTTTCATTGTTAGTGTAGATTAATTCTATTTTTAATTAGTGTCTATCATTTTAATGATTTTTGGTAGGAATGAGAAATCTCCCAATTTACTATTAACCATGTACTTTCTTTGATAATTTTGAGATTAGATTGTCATTGTGAACCTGGAAGGAAAGATTACAATTAATTTTTTTCCCAGATTTATTAATTGTATATGTATGAATTGCCTTTATGTGTGCAAGTGCATCACATGTATGCCTGGTTCTGTAGAAGTCAGAATAGGGTGTCAGATACTCTGGAACTGGAACTACTGATGGTTTTGAGCCACCATCTGGGTGCTAGGAATTTAATCTGACCATCTGCAAGAATAACAAGCATTCTTAACCACTGAGCCATCTCTCCATCCAACTGTACAATCATATAAAAGTCTAATGAGAATTCAGATGTGGTAGCCCTCCTCACGATCTCAGTACTCAAAAAGGCTGAGCCAAGAGAGCGGTGAGTTTGAGGCTCCCATACTCTAGCACAGCCCCTATCACAAAAGACTTAGCCAGTTGAAACCTGCGTCCTTGCTTTGTCATAAGTACTTTACTAAAATATTTCAAGGACCCAAATAGCATTAACTGTTCTCAAAAAGCAAGTAATATGTTTGGAGGATTAGACAGTTACTGGACTCTGATCAGTGCTTTTACCAGAATTTCACTAGAATAGAGGATGAGAATCCAAGTTGGAGTTACTTTAAATTAGCCATTTAAATGAACTCTTTATTTAAACAAGAACAACAAAACTAGTGGGTCATGGCAATTCATGCCTATAATCCAAGAAAGCAGGAGGATTTCTCTAAATTTGAGGTTAACTTAGGCTATGTTATATCAGGACTTCCAGGCCAGCCTGAGCTAGAGTTCCAGAACATGCTATGTTTAGGAGCTTGGGATATATTTTGTATGTTTTTGAATTTTAGTTAAAATCTTTTACTGGTGTGTGGGTGTGTCTATCTGTCGTCTCCTTTTTTATTCTACATTAGTTCATTATTTTCTTAGCTCTCCAGTAATGATTGTGTAGTGTGTTCCATATTTTAAACAGCTGTAGAGTGAGTGCTCTTTTGAGGGCTGAGTATGTAGGTTTGTGACCTTTGGGTTTTGTGGGCATTTTTGTTTTATTTATTTGTTTATTTATTTATTTATTTTAATGTGAGTGCACTGTCACTGTCTTCAGACCCCCCAGAACAGGGCATCAGATCCCATTACAGATGGTTGTGAGCCACCATGTGGTTGCTGGGGATTGAACTCAGGACCTCTGGAAGAGCAGCCAGTGCTCTTAACCACTGAGCCATCTCTGGCCCCTTTTTAGTTTATCTTGTCTCCTATTTTAGTTTACCTTTTTCTTTCCCTATTTTAAATGTCACTTCATGAGAAATTTGCTTTGACCAGTTCCTAGACCATGGCTGATGTTTCCACAGTGTGCTTTAAAGCAGTTAACACTGCCACATTCCACGTAGTTCATTTACTCACTGGTGTGTGTCGGACTATACGCCACACTTGGGCAGAAGTATGCTTGGCTTAGTACCCTGTGCTAAGTTTTATACACACACATTATGAGTGAATGGAGAGCTCATTGTTACTTTTTCTTATTATAATTTATAAGAGTTTTTCTTGCAATTATCTACAATTAAGGGTGACATTAATCCTATCCCTGGGACATCTGATGTCCCCTTGGATTGTTGTACTTGTACAGTGGAGAGATCACAAAACATTAAGATGACGAGAGCGTAAATGTATGTCCTTCCCTGATACAGAAAGAGTTCATAAAGCTGGTGAGATCCACGTGAAAACTTTAGAAGAAATTCTTCTAGAAAGAGCCAGTCAGAAACGTGGAGAATTGCAAACAAAACTGAAGACAGAAGAACCTTCAGGGGCTGATGATTCTCCATCAGGAACAAAAAGTTCTTCTTCAGTGCGGATCAAAACCTTCTCTGAGGTCCTGGCTGAGAAGAAACATCGGCAACAGGAAATGGAAAGACAGAAATCCAAAAAGGATACAAGTTGCCTCATGTTAACAGAAGATACTGAAGTGAAAAAGACAGTGAGTCTGCCGACTGTTGCTGTTAGCAAAGGACAACCAGAGGAGCCTGCGGGAAGAGCCAGGTCGATGCAGGAGGTGCACATTAAGACGCTAGAGGAGATTAAGCTGGAGAAGGCCCTGAGGGTGCAGCAAAGCTCTGAGAGTAGTGGCAACTCCCGACCTCAGGCTGAGACTGCCCCAGGGGCAAAGAGGCTGCTCCGAATCACCAAGAGAGCAGGTTTGTAGCCCCTCCAAACTGCAGCACCGTTCCAGCACTGGGCAGGACCTACAGGGGCCTGGGTAGTTATTTGAGGGTTTTTCATAACTGGAGGAACTGGAGTCACTGGATTCAGTAGAATAAGCTGTTGACAGTATGGTGGTCTGTAGTTCAACAGTGTATTCTTAGGATCTTGAGATTTTATAGGACCAGTCTCTTAACTATGAGGGATTTTCCTTGTTTCTTGTCCATTACTGTCTTACTTTCCTTTCTGTGATTTGATAAAACATTGATCAAAAACAACCTGAATTGGGGAATATTATATAATTTACACTTCCAGATCATAAGTACATCCTTGAGGGAAGTCAAGGTAGGACCCTGAAGGCAGGACATGAAGTGTGGTCCATGGAGGAACACTACTTACTGGCCTGCTCTCCATGGCTTGCTCAGTCTGTCTTTTATATAACCAAGAGACCACTTGCCCAGGGGTGGCACTACCCAAAGTGGACTGGACCCTCCTACATCAATTACCAATCAAGAAAATGCCCCACAGGCTAGTCTTAGCTGCAGTTCCCTCTTCCTAGATGACCATAGCCAATGTTAAATTGACATAAAAGCTGGCCAGTAAAATTGTATTCATTAAGAAAGGTTTTATTTCAGTTCATTTCTCCTGAGCTTGTGGCCTTATTAAAGCAATGGTGTTTTTAATATGAATATAGGTGCAAAAGAAGAGAAAAAGCTTGAACTTGAAAACAGTGGTGACGCTCCTTCTCAGAGCAGTGTGACTAAGATGGAGGGTAATGAGGTAAGTTTGTTATCTTATGTTCTAGGCAGACCTTGTCAGGTGAATGATATGTGCTTTCAGTTTTAGCTTACAGTGAATTTCTGTCAGTAATTTCAGTGGTACATTGAGTGTGTTTTTAATTGTTTTGGTTCATGGCTTTTGTTGTTTGGTTTTAGGTTTTTTATTGGCTTTTGAGATTTTTGGAGACAATTTCTTACTATGTAGCTCAATCTGCCTGGCTCAAAGAGTCTCATTCCTTAGTGCTAGATTACAACCCAGGACTGTGGTTATAATTTTCTGTGGAATTTGTATTTTTTGTTTGGTTTGGAGGTTTGTGGTTTTTTTTGGGGGGGGGGTGGTTTTTTGGTTTTTGAGATAGTGTCTTTGTGGCCCTGGCTGTCCTAGAACTCACTGTGTAGACCTGACTGGTTTCTGACTCAACACAGATCTGCCTGACTCTGCCTCCTGATTTCTGAGATATAAAATTGTGTACCACCATACCTGTGGGAGATTCTTACAATTCTGTTAGTTTTCTTTGTTCTTTATATGTATGTGAGCTGGCATGCCAGTGTCCAGAACTGAGCCTGGGTTCTTTGTAAGAGCAGCAGGTATCTTAACCACTGAGCCATCTGTTGTAACAGAAATGAATCTAACACTCAGCTTGGGTGAAAGCTGACAATTCGTCATTTTGCAACCTGCTGTAGCTTTAGTAATTCCTTAAGGTATTTGTTTTTACTGACTATATTATAATTTGTAAATATAAGCTCTTTCTGGACATCTGAGGTTTTTTCACAGTTGTAAATGATAACTTGGCATCTTAATTCTCTAGCAGTTATTAGTGTTTACTTAGAGTCGTAGTTATAGCCTACAGAATCTGGGTTTTTCAATTTCATACATTTTCAGTTCTAATCTTTCATACTTAACAGCATATCTTCTGTCTAATATCAAATAGTGAGCCTCCTCTTTATTCTGAATCATGTAATACTGTACCCAACTCACTCAGCACTATAAATGAGACTGTACGTTTTAATTCTTTGATTGAACTTGTCCACAGACTTCAGATGAGACCATAAGTGATCCCACAAAACTTCCAGTCAACAGATGTGACACTGTCAAAGAGAAACACACACAGAGACAGCAGGGGAGAGGAGCGGCACAAAAGGAGAAAGCAGCCTTGTCATCTGTGCGGGGAGATGAAGCTTCCTACTATACTCGAGTGGTGGGGAAGCCAGTGCTCACTGCTGGATCGGGCATCGCTCGGCACCTGGCAAAACGGCTCCCCACCGAGTCATCCCAGAAAGGGGAGGTAGAAACCTCTGGAATTGGGGATTCAATACTGAATGTGAAATGTGCAGCACAGACTTTGGAGAAAAGGAGTAAAGGTGAGTGGTTTGATACCTTCATCGTAGTGCAGTGACCAGATTTCAGTAACTGACAGCAGTAGAATTGAATCTCCTGTATACTGAGGTCACACCAACAGGTAGTAATATTTCTGATAGTTATCTGCATGTATAATGTAAGCAGAGTTCTTCACAACTTAAAAGTGCTGTCTTCTGCCTTATGGGGTCTCATAAATTACTTATCTAGCACAAAGCCCTGGCTGGGTTCCATTACAGCATGTAATCCCAGCCCAGTTGTATTAGGGTTGTCTAAAGGAATAGAACCAGTAGAAGGAATGTAGACAGAGGGAGGTCTATTGGATTGGCTTACATGATACAGTCTGGTTGGTCCAACAATGGCTGTCTCACACCGGAGACACCAACTTCGGTTGAATACCTCAATCCTTAACCATGTGCTGTGCTGTAAGTCAGCCAATATGTGATGAGGGTTTGAGTTTGAGTTTTGGCCACTTGAGTCCTATGGCTGGTAGAAGATTCTCTTTCAGGACATACTTTGAACTCTGGATTGTTCATATACATCTAGGTAGTTTTACCGTGGAGCTCACTCTTCCTCTTTATTCAAAGATGCTAGAAGCAAACAGTATCATTATTTTCTTTACTTTCTCACAAACATTCCAAGTTTTATAATCTGAGTCATCAAATCTTTGCTCTTCTCAAGTGATGAAACAAGAAGACAGGAGGATCAGAAGTTCCTTAGCTGCATGATCGGAGGATAGCCTGTGATACATGCGACTTTGTCATACAAAAAGAAAAACATAAAAGTCCCATCCAGAATGTCTGTGGTGTATCTTTCCTCTGGTGTTTTGAAATAGGGTCTTACTATATAGCCCCAGCTGGTCTTGTATTCAGCCTTCTGGGTACTTGAATTACAAATGTGTGCAACTGCACTCAGTTTTTTCTTCTTGTTTTGTAGAAGAAAATACCTCAGAATATGATAGTAACATTGGAGAGTGTGTCCCAGTGACCCATGTGACCTCATTTTTATTCATGCTGTTTGCTCTTTGCTCTTTGGGTATTACTTTTTGCTTTGTTTTTAAGACAGGGTCTCTACATAGCCTTGGCTGTCCAGGAACCCATTATATAGATCAGGCTGGCCTCAGACTCACAGAGATCCTCCTGCTTCTACCTCCCAGTGCTGAGATTTCAGTCACACACCACCATCCTTGGGCACTTTTTTTTTTTTTCCTACTACTAAAGGCATTGTATTTTATTCTGAGCTACTCTGCATGTGAAAGAGATTATCTAGTTGCTAATCAGATATGTTCTGTCCCCTGTAGCCAAACCTAAAGTAAATGTGAAGCCATCTGTGGTCAAGCTGGTCTCAGCTCCCAAATTGGCTCCCAAGCGCAAGGCTGTGGAGATGCACTCTGCTGTCATCGCAGCCGTGAAGCCACTCAGCTCCAGCAGTGTCCTCCAGGAAAGCCCCACCAAGAAAGCAGCAGTGGTAAGAGATGGCCACTGCAGTGGTGCTTTCTCTGTGACAGGACAATTGCCCTTTGGCTTTGTCTCTGTTTTTGACTCACATTTCCTGTCATTTCCTAAGCATATTGGTTTCATAGACTGTTACTCTAGTTGAAAATTTGAAGCTAATTTTGGGGTGGCAAGGTACTTTACTTACATACTCAACCTCTGGATCAGAGGCTACCATTAGATAGATAAATGGTAAATTTAAATTTAAACATACAGCTCAGTGGTAGAGCCCACCTAACCTGAAAGGTCCTCAGTTATCAAAGATCTCCAACCATGTCAAAACAAAACAAAAACTACAGTCATGATTCTAACAAGGCAACAAAAGAAAACTCTGGAGTTTAAAAAACAAAACAAAAACCTGACTCCAGGCCAGGCAGTGGGGAGGCAGGTGAAGGTAGAGGTCTGGGATAGCCAAAGCTACATAGTCAGGCCCTATCTCAAAAAAAAAAAAACAAAACAAAACAAAAACAAAAAAAAAAAACCGAACCACAACAAACAAACAAAAATTCTGGGGACATGGTTCAGTGGGTAAGTCCTTGCTACACAAGTACGGGGACCTGAGTTTGAATCCCCTAATACCTACATAAAGAAGCCAGTGTGACCATACACTTGCCTGTAACCTCAACCCTGAGGGATGAAGACAGGTAGACCACCAGCTTGGGGTTTAGTAAGAGACCAACTTTCCAAGGAAGACAGACAGAGTATGGTAGAAGACTCATTGACACCCTCCTCTGAACTCTACATTCTTGCACACATACACACAACACAACACACAGACACACCAGAAGAATGAAGCCTAACTCAGCGATTGACCTTACTCTTCCTTTGTAGGCTGTTGTCCCACTCCTCTCTGAGGATAAAGCCGTCACCGTGTCTGAGACAGAAAAACCAAAAGACAGGTAATGCCGTCTTAACCAAACTCCATGCCAAACTCCATTTCTGGTTTTGCTCTCTAGCAAATAAATAAATAAATAAATAAATAAATAAATAAATAAATAAAATGCTGAGAAGTCACTGAACATTTACAGATTATCCCCTCTAGCTCCAAACTGAGGGCAGAGAAGTATGGGCTGCAGGGTTGCTGCATTTCAGTGCTGCTATTGATATTTACCGCACTGTTGAAAAGCTACTTTAGATAACTGGCTAGATTCAAAATTTGATTCTAAAGTAGTGACACTGTTCTTGTGTGTGTCTTCAGAAACACTTTTTCCTGAACTGCTGAAGCTGTGACCGTTTAGCCATGAAAGAAGTGCACAGCCTGATCTAACAGTCTGTTTTTCACTTACAGTTCTGTGCTGTCTTCAGCCCAAGCTTCTTCAGAACCCTTGCTCCCAGAAGGATCTGGCCCTTCCTCATCCCAGATGGCAACAAAACCGCGCCGGCTGAGCTCTGCCTCAACGGGAAAGCCTCCACTTTCTGTGGAAGATGATTTTGAGAAACTAATATGGGAAATTTCAGGGGGCAAATTAGAAGCTGAGATCGACTTGGATCCTGGGAAAGATGAAGATGACCTTCTGCTTGAGCTCTCAGAGATGATTGACAGCTGAAGCTGAAGGGGATAATGAGGACACTTTAAAAAAAAAACAAAAAAAAAAAAAAAAAACAAAAAAACAAAAAAAAAACCCTCACCAAAAACTGGACTTAGTTTCATCTATTTACCTGAGGTGATAATTTCTTTAAGTCTCAAATTTTGCCCAAATCAAAAGTATACCTCTAAAGTACCTGTGTGTGTCCTGGATTCCCTGGGTCAGATCTTTTACATCCCTTGATAAATAACCGTTTTGTCCATTTGATGCCATTGTTCAGCATCTTTGAGAAGAAAGTTCTGTAATGCCCTTCTCTCCACATGAGACTGAGCTCCAAATGAAACGGTGCACGAGTACTCAGTGGTCCTTGAGGTGTTTGTCAGTGTGGGCTAGCTTCCCCTGCTGTATTTATTTATGTATTGTCTTAATTTTATCAGAATTTAAAATGAAGACAGCTGCTAACCATTGTGGACCAAATGTCATGCTACCACTAAACAAAAGACCCACTCAGTCTGTGTAAAATTGTATGTCTTTTTAAAGATATTTGGAGATTCGTCTAAGCTTTAAAGAGGGCCGGGCAGCTCGAGAACCTGAGATATGGACATAACTCTGGACCTGGTCCTGTTGTGCTAGCTGCCCCGTAAGCCTCTGAAGAGCAATAGCTAATTTATTATTACTGTAATTTTTTAAAGGCTTTAAAGTGCCTCAGGGGTCCCCTGAAACTAATTTTCTATTTCTGGGATTCCCTGGATTCTTTATAAGAGATGGTGACATGACTAGGGAAATTCCTTTTTTTAGTATGAAAACTATCCCTTCAATACCTTTCTCTTACTGGCATTGAATTATCACAGAGACAGAAAATTGGTAAATTTTTTTAATTTCTAACTCCCAGGAAACTCCTCTTGCCTAGTATTTATTTGATGTGCTTTAACCATGGGGGACGGGGGATGACCTCAAGCTGCCAGTATTGATCTACAGACATCAGTACACTGGGCTGGACCGTCATAGGGATGGCAAGATGCTCTGGGGGGTATTGGATACCTCCAGTTTCTTCATTTCTGGATTGAGTTTTCTTAATGTTGGTCTTCTTCATATCACCTCAAGGTTTAGACTTGTGAAGGAACGAGTCTGATGAGGATAATAGTCTTGAAATGAGACACTGTACAGAATTGGAAGAAGGAAAGAAAAGACTTGTTCATTGTAATACTTTTTCTGTAGGTGGCCAGTTTGTTTCTCATAGGGAAATCCTGGATCACCTGTCATGTTGGCTCCTAAGGAACTGCTGTTGTAAGCGGCTCATCAAGAGTTGAAGTTCATGTAGCCTTGTTGGGAATATGGAAAAGGAAGAAAGCCACAGGACTGCCAGTTCAGTCTGGGAAGATCTGGATGATTCTGCACATGCAAAAATGACTTGAAGTTTCTGTAGAGACACTTGTACCAATCCATCTTCAGTTGACTGAATGTTGTATGATAGCCCTTTTCCAAAGCAAAGGTGGAAGGTTCTGGTTTCACCACACATTTTATAAACACATTTCCTTTTTTGAATTGACCTATAGATTGTAGGTCTCTTTTGTATATAACCTCTATTCTTTTGCTTTAAAAAAAAAAAGTCTGTTCATATTTAATGCCCTGTATTAGTCAATGATTTGTGTTCAGCATTATTTGAACCATTTGCCATTAACGAAAGAGAAATACTTATTTGTGTTTTAAATAAAACTGATATAGGAAATACTTGGTTCTTATCATTATAAGGTGATACTATGAATTGTTGTAAAGGAGGGCAGGTCTAAAAGTCTAGAAATGGTCAATGATTGAGAATTTTCAAGCATGAAGGTGAAAGAAAAGATTAGAAGAGTACAGGGTTTTTCAATGTGTATGGTGACTTCTTACTGTTAACAGTTGTTAGCAACCAAAGAACAGGAGTTTTTCCTACTAGTAGCCTAATAGTCCCCAGACTGAGGTTGTAGCTTAGCAGTGGACCACTTGCCTAGTGTACATGAGGCCTCAGTCCAACCTAATGCTGTCTTTCCCCAAAGTCCTATCAAGCTGGACAATTTTCATACTCAAAGGTAACGGACCAGATGTTGTAGCTTGGATCTGCTGAAAAGTATAGAGATAGTTTTAGTGTTTACATCTTTTCAAGATTAGGCCAGATGTGGTGGCACATGGCAGAGGCAGAAGGATCTCTGAGTTCTAGGCCAAAAAAGAAAACATTAAAATGTGAAGTTCTGACCTTAACAGTAGAATCTCATGGCTACATGTGTGTTCTCATCTCTGCCAGTCTCAGGAGCTCCCATAGGGAGAAGCTAAAAGTTACAGAACTGCAGGTCACACAGGAAGCTTGAGTTATTTGCATTAGATTCCTGTGATCTTGCTCTGAAATTAATGGTTCATTTTGTCTGAAAAATTCTGTAGCTTTTTAACATGTGATGCCCTTGAATTTGGCAGTTTAGCAGCAGAAAGTGCATGGGCTCCAGTGTGAATGCTTTGCAGATAAAACTAACATTAGCAGTTTTTGGGAACCCATTCTTAAACTGAAGCTACAGAGAAAGGTTACTGCTAGCTTTTAAGGTCATCTGCTCAAACCCAACAATTTGTAGACTAGCTTGTGTAGCTCAGGCTGGCCTTAGGCTTTCCTGATTCTCCTGCCTCTACCACCAAGTGCTTAGATGGAAGACATGAACCAGGCCAGGTTCATGTGGTGCTAGGAACTAAACCCAGAGTGTGGTGCTAAGTTGCAGCCCAAACCCTGCAGCTGACTTTTCATTTAAAAGTGATGTCAAGGGCTGTGGGGGCTGGAGAGATCGCTCAGCCGATGAAGGCATTTGCCACAAAATCCTGGCAACCAGAGTCCAATAAAGAGGCAACCAACCCTCCAACATTGTCCTCTCACTCCCTATGCTTGTGCCATGTCACATGCCTCTTGCCCCCAAAATAAGTTTCTAAAAATTAAAAAAGAAGAAAAGTTAGAGCCAGTGACTCAGCTGGATGCCTCCCAGGCCTTGTGCGTCCCTCCAGACACATGCAGTGGACAGAACTGAACTGCTGCATGTTGACTTCCTCACACATGCTGTGGCACATGTACATACCCATAAACACACAGAGATACATGTAGTTTTTAAACTGTTGAAGGGCCTAAGCACAAAGGAATCATTTGATCTTTACCATTTTCTTAAGACTACAGTAAAATGACCAAAACATGCAGTGACTCCACGTCAGCAATCTGGGGTTTTATGGTTTTGGCTTTTTTTTTTTTTTTTTTGATGAAAAGTTTCAAGAGTCTTAATGAGTAGGTCTATTATTCAGTATTTGGTTGGACTTGATTCCTAAAATGAAGAGGTAAGTGTTACAGTAAGTAAAAAGCAGTGAAGTAAAACAATATTGCCTCTCCTTTTTAAAAAAAAAAAACAAAAAACAAAAACTTTTACTTTGTTCTCATTGCAGTGAAACAGTAGTCCATTGAACTTAACACTGGTTTGCTGTCATGGGAACTAGAGGAGGTTTTTTGTTGTTTTTTTTTTTTTTTTTAAGGTGCTGTGTGTATAACATAAGGAACTAAACAGATTAGGGAAACATTGAACAAGAGAGGGTTCCTACCTGATGGAGCAGCCATGGCGAGCTCTCATTGGTCTGTCTTTTAGAAAGGCTAGCAGAAGGAAAAGTTCTTTGTGTTGGCATTGACTGTCATAAGGATTTTGGAGTCCCATCCTTGAGGATGCATAGAATAATTTTGAACTTACACTGTGATTAGTTAATTTTGGTCACTAGGGACAGATGAGTTTAAGTCAGATTCCTGCTCCTGAAGTCTGTAAACAATTGTGAGAGGGTGTGAATGTCACTTGTGTGGGGACGCCTGTGGCGAGCTCAGGTCACAGGATGCCTTGGACCTGGAGTGACAGGCAGTTGTGCGCTGCCTGCCACAGGTGCTAAGGACTGAACTTGGGTCCTCTGGAAGAGCAAGTGTCATTAGGAAACATTGTAAAACAGGAGTCAGCCAGAGTAGTTAGTTGCCCATGCATGTAAGTCCAACACTAGGGAGGCAGAAGGATAGTTCAAGGCTAGCCTGTGTACGAGAATTTCAGAAAAACGAGAGTAATAAGGAATGGAGTAGTACTTTAGTATTTTCTGAGACAAGGGTTTACTACACATAGCCTTGGGTAGCAGGAGACTTGCTATGTAAGTCAGGCTGTCCTGGCCTCTTAAGAGATTTGCTTGCCTCTAATCCTAGGATACAGGTATGTACCATCATGCCCAGTTTAACATACAAGTTTTAAGTAGATAATGAGCTGGAGTGTTAGTAGCTTTTTTCTGTTTATTTCTTAGTTTACTTTTTGAGAAGAGAGCTCATATGGCCTTATACTTCTTAGTCCTCTTGCCTCTGCCTCTCAAATGCTGGGATCACAGGTGTACATTACCATGTCTGGTCTATGGAGATTAAACCCAGGGTTTTGAACATGTTAGGCAAACACTCTCCCAACACCTCATCTTAAACAGATGATCTAAGCCACAGAGTGATGAGCTTAAAGTTGCTAATGCCTCAACTCTCAAACATGTGATCTGTCTTTTGCCCTCTGAATATTTGTTTGTTTGTTTGTTTGTTTGTTTATTGGTACAGGTTCTCTATCATAGCCCCGACTGTCTGGGAATTCACTGTAGACCAGACTGTCCTAAAACTCAAGAGTTCTGGCTGCTTCTGTCTCAATGCTAGGATTAAAGGTATGCACTACTACACCCAGCCCCTTTGTCAAAAAAATTTTTAATGTATTTTGCTTGCATGTATGTCTGCACCATTTGTATGATGGATGCCTGTAGATACCAGAAGAGGGTGTTAGATGCCCTGAAACTGGAGTTACAGATTGTTGTAAGCTATCACGTGGGTGCTAGGAACCAAACCTGGGTCCTTTGCAAGTAAAATTAGTACCTCTTAACTGGGAGACATCTCTTCAGTCCCTGTCTTCATTGTTTTTGTCGCCATCTACCTAAAAAAGAAGAAAGGCCATGACCATTGGACTTCTTCCAGAAATTCTCCTTTTTCCTCAAACAAGGTATCTTACCAGGCATATACTTCATTTACCCTATATTTTTTGAAGGTTATTTACCAGCCGGGCATGGTGGTACACACCTTTAATCTCAGCTACCCAGAAGTCAGAGGTAGGTGAGTTCAAAGCCTGCCTGGTCTACATATATAGTAAGTTCAAGACAGTCAGAGCTATGTAGAGACCTTGTTTCCATGGTCTGCCCACCCCCCAAAAGAATCTGGTTTATAAGTACTTCCCTCATGCAGAAGACCTTGGATTTAATCCTCAGCACAAGGGAGAGAGAGAGGGAGGAAAGTTTTTAAGACAGATCTTTTGCTTGCTTTTATAGTTACAGTGTCTAATATAAATATATTAGTTCTCTCAGACTGCCATATGTCAGCATATGCCATATGCCAAATAGGTCAACAGTTTTCTCAGTCCTTGAGAGTCAAAGTCCTGGCCAGATAGTTGGTATTTCTAGTGCTTTTTCTGATTGTGAATAGCTGCTACAGTGTCCTTACATGGCCTTTCTTCTGTTCCTATGGAGAAATAGAGGCCTATGTGCTGTCTCTTAGTTGTTTTTTGTTGTTTGTTTCTTTGGGTACTGGGCATGGAACCCAGGACCTCATGAACGGGAGACAAATAAATACCTTACCCTGGTCTACATCTCCAGCCCCTTTTTCTCTTCTAAGGACACCAGAAATACGAGGTTAGGTCCCACCCAGATCTCATATGACCTTAATTATCTCTTCAACAACGCTATCTCAAAAAATAGTCAAAGACAGAAGCTACCTTATCTACAAATATGGCCCCATTCTGAAGTACTAGGGGGCTAGAGCCTCAATAGAAGGAGTGATATAGCGGAAGGAATCCCATAAAGGATTCTTGACTCATTTCAAGCTGATCTTGGCTGGGCTGTCCTGTCTTAACGTCTTTGTCATGCTTTCATTAGTCTGGGCTAGCCTTTCAATGACATTCTAGGGAAAACAGAACTTCATCTGAATGGAGAAAAGTCTTAAATCTTTGGGAAGTGGCTGGCTATCATAATATATGCCAGTAATCCCAGCAATTAGAAGGTAGAGGCAGGAGGATTAGGAGTTCAGTGCCAGCCTTGGCTACAAAGTAATTTGAGCCAGTCTGGAGGATGAGAGATACATGAGATACCAGGTCAAGAACATTCAGTCTGAGTATCTCTCTTGGAGCTAGTGCTCCTCAAGCATATTCTGCAGACATTTTGAGTGTCATGAAAATCTCAAGATTTACAAGAATACTATGATTACTTATCATCTAAAAGAAAATGAACCAAGGTTTCATTCAGGTTTCTGTTATTGAATATATTCATTGAATTGTGAAATATTAATTCATATATCAATCAGTAAATACATTATGTATAAAATGACATTCTAGAGGCTGGAGAGATGGGTCAGTGGTTAAGAGCATTTCTTGCAGAGGACCCAGGTTCAATTCTCGGCACCCACACGTCTGCTCACAATTATCTGTAACTCCAGTTCCAAGGGAGCCAACACCCTTTTCTGACTTCTGTGGGTATCTGTCTTGCATGTGGTACACAGACGTATATGCAAGCAAAACATTCATATGCATATAAATCTTTTTTTAATGCCATTCTGTACTTTATTTAAATTTTTTCATATTTTGTTTTGCTTTTTTGAGACAGGGTTTCCCCGTGTAGCCCTGGTTGCTTTGGAACTCTGTAGATCAGGCTGCCCTTGAACGCAGAGATCTACTTGTTTCTGCCTCCTGAGGGCTGGGATTAAAGTCATACACCACCATGCCCAGCTATTAGAGAAATTTGAAACAGAACCACAAGAAAGTTTTAAAATAGAATCCAGGAAGTTACCTAGCTTTAACAATTACAAATTCATAGCCAATCTATTTCATTTTTATATTTATTTTATTTATATTCATATTTTATTTTTATATGCATGAGTGTTTGCCATCACGTATGTATATGTAATACATGTGTCCCTGGTGGCAACAGAGGGTAATAGAACTGGAGTTACTGTAGTGAGCCACCATGTGAGTCCAGGAAACCTAAGCTAGGTCCTCTGCAAGAGTGGGAAGTGCTCTCAAAGGCTGAGCTGTCTTCCCAGCCCCTCAGCTAATCTTGTTGCTCGCTTCCCACACAATTGTCCCCTATTTGGGCTTTCAGGGCTGGGACCAGGGTAAGATAAACAGGTAACTTGGGCACAATTTAAGGAAGTGCTTATTCTTGGGGTCATAGTTATACATGTGATTCCTTAAATTCTCTACAGTCTAGGTTGAGATTGAAGTAAATCTCACACCAAGCATACCATTGCTTGCTTTCCCCTATCAGTATGTCATTGGCTACCATTTCCTGTCAGGACACAAGACATAAAAAGAGCTCCTTTAATCTTGATTACAGTTGCACTGTATTACAACCTGTGAAATAATTTATTCTTTATAGACTGACAGATTGATTTCCTGTCTATATTTCCAACAATGGTACAATAATCACACTATAACAGGCTTAAGTTTATCTGGGGGTAGGAGGAAGAGAAGGGGTCAAAGCCAAGGCCACATGTAGGACTGTTAGTCAAACACTACCAGAGAGGTTAAACCCAGGCTTAACAAACAAACACCTCTGAAGAAATAAATAGTATGTACTAGAATTTAAAATTTAAATTACTAGAGTTTAATATTAACACAAATTCCAAATATAACTTTAAAACACAAATTGACAATCTAGGTGCTAGAGAGATGGCTCAGAAATCAAGGGCTCCTTTTCCAGAGAACCTGGGTTTGATTCCCAGCATCCACGTGGTGGTTCACAATCATCTGTAACTTCAGTTCGAGGAAATCTAGTGCCCTTCTCCGGCTTCTACAGGCACTAGGCACACATGGTGCACAGACCTACATGCAAAAACATCCTTACACATAAAATGCAAATAATAATGTTTTTCCAAGTGATGGTGGGGCACACCTTTAATCCCAGCACTCAGGAGTCAAAGGCAGGAGGATCACTGAGTTTGAGGTTAACCTGGTCTACAGAGATTCCAGAATAGCCATGGCTACACACACACACACACACACACACACACACACACACGCACACACAAAACTGCCAAAAACCAAAAACAAACAAAAACAAAAAATAATAATGTTTTAAAATTTGATAATCTGTTCTAAAGTTTAAAACTCTACTATTTAAAAAAGGAAAACTCTACTTACTTCCCACCAAATAAAATATAAAGCTAGGATGCTTACAGTAGTGCACTAGGTCATAAGTAAATACAAGATAACTGCACAAATATAAACCATACAAAACCAACCAATCAAAAATCCCTGAACATTGTCCACTGTCCTCTACCGAGGTTAGAACACCCCACTTGTGCTTACAATGTGTTCTCATGCATGGAAGTATATGCTTTGTTTTTGTTTTTCAGCTTTTGTGTATCTCCAGCTGTCCTGAAACTTGCATTGTAGACCAGAGGCCTCAAACTTAAGAGATTCGCCTGCCTCTGTCTCCTAAGTACTTGGATTAAAGATGTGCGTTACCATGCATGCCCAACAAGTATATGGTTTTTAATGTATGATACATGTGTGGAGGTCAGAGGATGGCTTTCAGGAGTTGGTTCTTTCCTTCTACCTTTACGTAGAATCCAGGGATTGAACTCACATCACCAGGTTTCATAGTTAGTGCCTTTACCATCTTGCTGGTCCTGAAAATAATTTTATTTTAAGAAAAAAGAAATCATACATTTCTGATGAGTTGTACAATCAGTTAAAAGAATTGTTTATGGGATTCAACTCATCAAAGTTTAAAAATCGAAAATGCATTAGCAAGAAGTGAGGTACCTTTCATTTCAGATGGAGTGGGTCTGTGTGGCTTCTCTCCACACTGCCTGTGAGGGCAGTAAATCTGTACACATGGCCTTTTCTCATGTTTAGAGTGGGGTACATTCTTTTTAAAGAAATAATTTTCCCATGCAAAAAAATTTAAGTTTCTTTTTGTAGCATAAAGATAGCTTCCAGCCAGGTGTGGTGGCACATGCCTTTTCATCGTCTCAGGACTCTGGAGGCAGGTGGATCTCTGTGAGTTCAGGCTAGCCTGGTCTACATAGCAAGTTCCAGGACTGCCATGGCTATAGAATGAGACCCTGTCTTAAAAAAAAAAAAAAGCTTTCATCATGATACTTTTTATAAGATTGGAGTTCATGTTATTCTCATCTGAAGAAGACCTTAGGTAAGCAAATTTAGATCTATTATTTGACCTAAGTGGTACTCCTAAAGTGCCAGTCCCTTAGATAACATCTAACATCCTTTCAAGTCTGAGCCTCCTTATTAGAAAGTGAATATTCAAATGAATGTTAAATATTTTTTAAATTAGATAAAATTTGAACCAGGACACAAGCCCTGTCATAACAGAAAACTGAGTAGGCCTGTCAACTAATGTAGGCATGTTTAATCAATCGGTCCCTTTTCTTGCTGGTTGTGTTATGGGCTGGGGGCCATGCTTTAACAGAGACCAAGCTTACATACACACACAAACACACATATACATATCCAGAGAGCTCCTGACTTACAATTCTTCCTCCTAAAGATGGTGTGAAAGCAATATAAATTCCGTAAAAATCAGACTTTGCGTTTCAAATTTTGATCATTTCCCTGGTAAGCTGCTCTAGATACTTTCTGGTGAGGTGGGGGCAGCTGCAGCACTGAGAAAGGCTGATACGTTGTGTTGTTAAGTGATGGTGTTGAGTAAACTAGGTACATACATTTTTAACAATTTTATGTGTGCATGTCTGTGTATATGTCCATGTGGAGGCCAAAGGATGTCATCAAGTGTCCTTCTGAGCCACTCTTCATCCTATCTTTTGAGACAGGGTCTCTCACTGAACCTAGGAGTTGACAATTAAGCTAGACTAGTTGGCCTGATAGCCTAGGCATATCCCAATGCTGGAATTCCAGGCATGTAATTTTGTGTAGATGTTGGTTGACTGACCTCACCTACTGAATCATCTCCCCTGGGCCCTAGGAATCTGTATTAAATGCATTTTTTTGACTTACATTTCCAAGTTTATCAGGTTATATACCATGTAGGTTGTTTTGCTTTGAAATAACGCCTCATGTAGCTTAGATGGATCTGGAACAGACTATTTAGCAGACGTCCTTAGGCTGATACTCTTGCTTGAGCCTTCTATGAGCTGAGATTACAGGTGTGTCCAAATCCTATATAGTTCAAGGAACACTTGTGCACTACTACCGCCTTGAATCTACACACACACACACTCACACACACACACCCTTGCCAGACCAAGATGGTGAGGCCTAATGACTTATCATTGATCACACAACTGAGAGGGATTTGAGTACAAGCCGATTTCAGCACCTCCAAGGTAGTTAGATTGTCCTCTTCAGTTGCCACCTCAACTCTGCAAAAAGGTGATAAGGGTTGAATCTGTTATTGAGAAAACCACAACCACACACTGCTTCGGGCATGACAATCCAGACACTCTGGGGCCCAAAACGAATAAGGGAAGTCTGCAAATGGTTTTGACAAGATGCTGCCCACATGGCGGTCACCAGACCTAAATTCCCCCGAGCAGCTTTCAGAATAGCACCTAGGCGGAGGCAAGACTCTTAGCGCAGGCGCCTGGCCGAAGCCCTGGGCGCCTTCAGCCTACCTCTAGGTGGCGCTGTAGGACCGACCTCGGTTTCAAAGAGGGGTTAACTCGGAAGGCGGGCCGCGGAGGCTATAAGCATAGAGAAAAAGCGGCTCCGTGGCTAGAGAGGCGTTTCCCAGAACAGGCCCGCGTCGCTGAAGCCACATGCACTTCCGTTTCCAGGTCTTGCTTCCGGAAGTTGCTTTCTGAGGCGGCCTTCCTACTCGTGTGGTCTTTGTGACTTCCACCATGGCGTACCGCGGCCAGGGCCAGAAGGTGCAGAAGGTGATGGTGCAGCCCATCGTATCCTACGCGGCGTGAACTCTGGGCTTTGGGTCCGTAGGCGCTGTGAGCGTGGGCGGGGAGCCGGGCAGCCTGTTGCGGGCCGCTTCCCGTGAGGCCCCGGGGCGACTGAGAAGGCCGGAAAGCGCGCGGAGTTGAAGGGCCGCGGGTGGCGGGCTCGGGTGTGCGGTGACTGGCTTGCGGTACGGAATGAAAGCGGGGTCGACAGAGAGGAGAGGAGGACGTGGTCATCAGGAAGTTTCGAGAAACGAGGGCGGTGGGGAGGGAGTGCCTTCAGTTTCTAGGGCATCCCCAGTGCATGTTCCAGATGGTCTCTAGTGCGTGCATGTGTACCCCGGCCTGGCCTTAGGGCGCTGGAGAGTCAGGAGAGGAGCAGTCTCTACTGTTTGTATATTTCTTTTCCTTGATCGCCGTGGTGCAGAACCTTATCTTCAGGTACTTGCAAAATGTACGTAAGTTACTTGTTTCTTTATTACTGAAAGTTGAACCTGTTTGACTATTTGTATTAACTAATCTGATCCTAGTGCTTAGACTTAAAAATGAGGGAGGGGGTCGCAGTTGAGGATAAGGTCACAGGGAAAGTGCTGTCCGTGCCCGACTTAAGCATGCACACCATTCTGTAAGAACAAAACCATTGATTTCATAGGCTTTGTCATCGGACTTAGCAGTGACAGTTGCGCATTGCTTTTTCCTCAGTTGGACTTAAAATGGAGAGAAGACACCAAAAGGAGGGGGGCGGAGTTAGATACAGAGAAGCTAGTAGCAAATGCTCTTTGGGGGAGATTTTAACGATGTTAATTTTAGAGTGTTAGAAATGAAAACTAGATTTAAGCCATTGTAATTTTTAATCGCCAGATTTGCTTTGTGCTACCTTGTGAACAATTTTGACTGTAAGTGTATTCATGCCAGAAGCAAAAATACATTTTCAGAGGAGGAAAATCAGTTGGAACAGCCCTGTCCGAGCATTTATTAAATGTTTCTCAGCAGGCTAACCAGAGTTGCTAGCTCTTAGATGTAGACTAACTAGTTCTAATTTTTGGCTTATATTTATTGGAATTTTAAAGATAAGTTATTTATCATGGGATCAAAGTAATGTGGTGGGATCTGTTTACATTTCTAAAATCATTATTTTTATTTCAGAGATCTCGAATTCAGGTGTGGCTGTATGAACAAGTGAACATGCGGATAGAGGGTTGTATTATTGTGAGTACCCAGGCTATTTTTCCTCAGGTTGTTATTAGAGAAAGACATCTCAGAAGATGGCCAGTAAGAGCAATACACAAGGAGTCGAGGACCCAACCCAAAGAAAGCTCTTCAGAACTCTAGTTATTTAGCCTTTCCTTGCTCTGCTTAATGGGGTTAGATAGTACTTTTCTTAAAGGGAAGAGAGAGTTAAACTTTTAAGAAGAGTTTAGTTTGTGAGGGGAAGGAACAGAAACAAAGAATCAAAATGAGAGTGGGATGGGGAGTGATAGAGGACTCTCATTCTGGATTAGATAATGCCTGAGTAGAGCTGGTAGGGTTAAAAGAGACTTTTGTCTGGTTAATTTTAGGCTTTTATTGTGGTGGTGCTAGGGAACAAATCCTGGGTTTCTTGGATACACAGTACCTGCTCTACCAAAGAAAACAGTACCTGCTCTACCGCACAGCTACAGCCTCAGTAGTTTTTGTTGTTATTTTAGATTTATTTGTCTGAGTGTTTTGCCTTTGTGTGTTTAGTGCCCAAACAGGTCAGAAGTTGTTGACTCACCCAAAAATGGGTGGTTGTGAGCCTCCATGTGGGTGCTGGGAACCTGACTTGGGTCCTTTGCAAGAGCAACAAAGAAGAATTCTTACCTAATGCACCATCTCTCCAGTCTGTTGTTTCTTTTATGAGGCAGAGTCTTTTAAGAGAGTTAAACATGCAAATCCTCTTGTCTGAGCCTCTACAGAGGAAAGTTAAAAAATTAGCTGTGGAAATTAAAAAAAATCTTTTAAAGATTTGTTTATTTTTATTGTGTGTTGGTGTTCTGCCTACTGTTATTTGTGTGAGGGTGTCTGATTCCCTGGAACTAGAGTTATCAGTAGTTGTGAGCTGCCATGTGGGTGCTGGGAATTGAATCTGGCTCCTCTGGAAGAGGAGTAGAGCCAGTACTCTTAACCACTGCACTATCCAGTTCTGGCATTGTTGTTTTTGAGGCAAGAAATTGCTGTGTAGCCCAGTAAGGCCTTGAACTTTGGATCCTACCTCAGCCTCCTGACATGTGTTACCCATGTTCAGCCTCACTGGTTTTTGGTGGTGGTGGTGGTGGTGGTGGTACTTTGTACATATTCCTGTATGTGGGTGTATCTGCATGAGGTATTTTTTATTGCTCTCTGCTTTTTGAGACAAGATCTCTCACTGAGCCTGGAACTTATGGATTTAACAAGACTAGTTGGCCAGGATTAGGTCCAGCTGTCTGCCACTGTGCCCTGCTTTGTCTGATGGTAGGGATCCAAACTCAGGATTGCATGTACTTTACCAAGTGTCTCCCTAGTACCCACCCCACTTCCCAAAGCTGCACACTGCTTTGAAGGAAAATAAGATATTTCTGCAAATAGTTTGTTACTTTATGTAGATATCAAGAGTGTCTATCAATAATCTTTTAGCAGGTAGTAAGCAAGCACAGTAGTTAGTGGGAGTCGTGTTTGTGAGGAACAGGGGCGTGCAGTGGCAGAAGGCAGTCCATGTGTGCACATACTGGATTGGGTGAAGTGCCCAGCAGGCTTACCTAGCGCATGTTTACCTCTAAGAGATTGAGGTACTTTGGATCTCGTTCTCACTTTCTTCCTATTTAAAAAGAGGTAGGCTGGGGCTGCAGCTCAGTAGTAAAGCACTTGTGTAGAAGTTCCTGGGTTAATCCTCAACATCATCTTTGCCCAAAAAAGATGGAAAATGCCCCAAGAATTGGGCATGTCACATTTGATCAGACATGGTGGCACACACCTGTAGTCTCAACACGTGGAACAGAGAGGGATAGGAGGCTTGGAGTTTGAGGCTTTCCTTGGCTGTATGGGAAGTTTGGGGCAAACATATATCACGTAAGATGCTGTTTCAGAAATAAGGGACTTAGCAGATAACAGCATTTACTATTCTCGCAGAGAACCAAGTTCAGTTCCCAGTGATACACCTTTGATAAATCACAGCTGCCTGTACTTCTGGCAGATGGATCTAGTGCCTCTGCCCTCTTTAAGCACCTATACTAATGTGTACACATCCATCCAAAAATAAATACGTACATGTAACAAAAACAAAATTAAAAACTTTAAAAGAATACAAATAAGTTAATAAGTAAGTAGATATTTTAGGTGTGTGGGTTGAAAGATCAGTGATAGCATAAAATTCTAAAATTAGTTGGTATTTCTGAATCTATTCTTTTAGAATGGTCTGATATGATTTACTTGAAAATGATTGTCAATTGACTTTCCAGGGCTTTGATGAGTACATGAACCTCGTATTAGATGATGCAGAAGAGATTCATTCTAAAACAAAGTCAAGAAAACAACTGGGTAAGGATATAGTTGGCTTTACAGATTTCTGTTTATTTTACTGGCAGACTTGAATGGCCTGTAGCTGAATTCATGTTTAAATTTAGTTTAAATTTATAGTTGCGTTTGAAGGGAGAAGCATACTTCTGAATTCACCTTCTTGCCACTTATTCTGTAACCCACTCCGTTGTTTTTGTTTTGTTCATTGATAAGGTCTCATGTAGCCCAGGCTAGTCTCAGTCTTGCTAAGAATGTCACATTGAACTCCTGACCTTCTTGCCTCCCCTCCCAAGTGCTAGATTCATAGGCATCTGCAACCATGCCTTGCCAAGAATGTTAAATCTAATGGTCTTACTTGTGTTCACTTATATTTAACATTAAATAGAATTTGACACAGTTGAATACGTCCCTTACACTACTTTGATCTCTAGGTCTGTGACATAGTATGTGAGTTTTTATTACTCATCTCTGATTGTTTCTTTTTAAGCTTTTTATTCATCCTTTTTAGTCATTAAATATTTGAGGCTGGGTTCCAACTCACCTTTCATGGTCTTTCCCTAGGCCAGCAGTTCTCAACCTGTGGGTAACAGCTCCTTTGAGGGTGAACAATTGTTTCACAGGGGTCTCCTGAGACCATCAGAAAACATAAATATTTACATTACGATTCATAATAATAGCAAAATTACAGTTATAAAGTAGCAGTAAAATACTTGTATTGTTGGAGGTCAGCACAACACGAGGAACTATTATTAAGGGCTTGCAGCAGTAGTAAGATTGAGAAACACTGTTGTGTGCACTTAAGGTTACAGCTCCAGTTACTACTCTGTGCATTGACTTATTTATGTGTTTAGCCCGAACTTCTTCTCTGAACCTGTTTAACTTTCCACATGAAATGTTTCCAAGGCAGCTTGTCAGAAGCCAGCTTCATTTCCTGCTTACACACTGACTGTTTAGAGTGGGTTTGGTGCTCACCTCCTAACTGAACAGAAGTTTCCACTAAGTTACTAACTTGTAGCTCCCTCATCCATTTGAAGTTGCTCTCCAGACTAGCCATCTTTTTGAAACACTGAGTCTGACCTTACCAGCTTTTGCTTGAAATTTTCCATTGTTTGTTTTTCCTATGAGAGAACAGTGACTTTTTTTTCTTTCTTTTTTTTTTTTTCTTTTTTTGTTTTTTTTTTGAGACAGGGTTTCTCTGTGTAGCCCTGGCTGTCCTGGAACTCACTCTGTAGACCAAGCTGGCCTCGAACTCAGAAATCCGCCTGCCTCTGCCTCCCAAGTGCTGGAATTAAAGACGCCACCACCGCCCGGCCTAAACAGTGACGTTTTTTGCAAGAACCTTATCTGGCCTTATCTTCACTCTTGAGTCACACTGTTCCATTTTCTGAGCAGTCACCATGCTTATCTTCTTTCAGTTTGTTTTTTGTTTTGTAGGGGTTTGGTTTGGGGTTTTGTTGTTTGGGGTTGATTTTTTTGTTTGTTGTTTTTTTTTTGTTTTTTTTTTTTACTTTTTTGCTTGTTTGTTTGGTTTTTATGTTTTGGTTTTTCAAGACAGGGTTTCTCTGTAGTCTTGGAACTCTCTGTAGGGCAGGCTGGTCTCTAACTCACAGAGATCTGACTGCCTCCCGGAGTGCTGGTATTAAAGGCATATGCCACCATTTCCCAGCTCTTTCAGTTCCTTAAACCTGCACATTTGCCCCACTTTCTGTTTGAGCTCCCTGTTTAGCCCAGGCTGGCCTTAACTCCGAAATCCTTGCTTCATTTTCTGAATGACAGTGTTACAGAGCTATCACGGCATCATTACGCGTGACTCTACCAAATACTGCTACATACATTGTTCACTGATCAAGCAGAGCTTTCTCTGAAGAAACTCTAATTTGTTTTTTTCTTGGAATGGGAGAACATAAGATGTGGTATGTTGAGTTTGTAGTGGATCATTTATTTTATCGTTGCCTCTTTGTTAGACTACATGCTCCGTAAGTTCATGAGTCGTGTCCTCTCTGGTTCCAGTAAGTGCAATAACTAACTTAGTGCTTGATACATAAACTCAAACGCCCAGGTAACAAGAACATCCATGGTCTCATTAAGAGATCTTTTACTGAGGTTATTTTATCTTTTGTTAGAATAATCAATGCTCACTGATGCATTTATTAATGATGGAATTCAGATATCTCTTCCCAAATTCTAATGATTCCCAAACCCTAAAGACCAAAGCCAGATAGGTGGAAAGTAGATTCTAAGAAATGATACTGTATTTTTTTAATTTGGTTTTGAGGTGCTCTAACTCTGTAGCCCAGGCTGTCCAATCTTATCTTAGCCTTCCAGTACTGGGATTGTAGGTGTGCACTGTCTCACCCAGCAAGAACTCACAATCTGCAGATGGAATTGAAATGTACACTTGACAGACACCTCATTTCTAAACCTTCATGAACTTATTATTATTGGGAGATACTGTATCAGGCCTTTTCGCTTGACCTAGACTATAGGAACTATATTTCATTAAAACAGTGCTGCTTTGTTCTGCTGTTACTGAAAGCCCAGCAGACCTGGTGGAAGCCTTTAAAATATGGACACTTGAAAATGTTCACATATCTGTAACACTTTTTTCTTGTTGTTACAGGTCGGATCATGCTAAAAGGAGATAATATTACTCTGCTCCAGAGTGTTTCCAACTAGCAGTGGTCAAGCATGGGAGAAGTCGAGAAGGCAGTTCAGTGTTTTTAAAGGTGTCTTCTGCTAGAAGCAACATTTACTCAACTTGTTTTACTTGCACATTATCATTAGGGGACAATAAATGGTGTGAGATTGTTTTTGTTACAATTTTACATTGTTTGATTCTGGTGGCAAAACGCTCTTACATAGTGTTGGTATTTAAGGTTTCTGAGGGCTTCCAGTCCCCTTAACATTTGCTTTTCTCAGAGCATGGATCTGTATATTCTTGAGGCAGAGACAGGATTCTGCCTGTACAGGTAAGCTGCTAAAGTTAAGTGGAAGGAGCGGGGTTGGGGGCAGGATATTGAAAATAAACAAGTTTTGTTTTTTTTAATTAGTGATGTAGTTATCAGTTCTAAGTGCTTGGGACTGAGAGTTTAATTCAGCACCGAACACTTTGTCTGACACATGAGGCCCTGTTTGATCCCCAGCATTACAAAAACAAAACCACTGACTGACTTCTGGAGACTACAACAGTAGCATTTCTAAGTGCAGGAGGTTGAAGACATGTTAATAGTTATATTTGCTTAGCAATTACTGAGACACTGAAGACTTTAGAATTTTATCATTAAGATCAAAATGTGAAAAACAGATATGGTGTCCTGTGCCTGTATCCTAGCAGCAGAGAGACAAGGATAGAGTAAAGGACAAAGTCTGTCCAGGCTAGATAACAAGACTGGGTCACAAGAGCGGACTAGGAGGAATGTTGGAATAAGATACCTTTAAAGAACACTTAAGGTAAAGTTAAAACATTAGTAGGAAGCTTTTGGGAATTGGTAGTTTGAGAAAGACCACAAATACCTGGTAAATTAGTTGTACTGAAAAGACTTACTTGTTTATTCTTATCTGTAAAGATTTAGGTGCCCTCCCAAGTGATAATGCTATTTGTTTGGTTTGAGGGTATGTCTCAGTGGGTAATCATTTTTAGGCATGAGGACTGAAGTTAGGACCCCAGAACCTAATGAAAGTTGGGTGCCTTGTTGTGGTCTGCCTGTAGTCAGTTCTTGGGAGCTAGAAATGGAACCTGGGAACAACATCTGCAAGCTTTGGTTTAGTGATAGACTTCCCCAAAATGTAAGGTGGGAGTATGTGAGGAAGACAGACAATGTCAGTCAGTCACAAACATGTGCTCCCCTCAACCCCTAAAGAAACTTTTTTTTTGTGTGTGTGTGTGGAGTTTTTTATTGTGTGGGTTTTTGTTTTGTTGTTGTGGGTAGGGGGGTGGTTTTGTTGTTTTTTGTCTGTTTGTTTTTTGAGGCAGGGTTTCTCTGTATAGTTCTGGCCCTCCTAGAATTCACTAGACCAGGCTGGCCTTGAACTCAGAGATTCACCTGCCTCTGCCTCCCAAGCGCTGCAATTAAAGGTGTGAGCCACCAATGGCTAGGTTTCTTTTTGATGAGGATGTGCATGCTCATGACACCAGAAATACTGAGGTTGGGGCAGCTTTCAAGAGTCATTTCTCAATGTGGGATCCAGGGATTGAAGGCCACTAATCAGACTTAAATTGGTGTGTGTGTGTGTGTGTGTGTGTGTGTGTGTACACGTGTGTACGCGTGCGTGCGCACATATGCATGTATACTGGTGCCATGGCCGTGTGTAGGTCAGAAGACAGCTTTGATGAGTAGATTCTCTCCTTGAGCCATGGAACCTAGATATGCAGCTCAGGTTGTTGCTAACACCCAAGAGCCTATTCACAGCAAGCCATCTTGCCAGCCTCCTTTTTTCTTTTTCAGTTTCTATGTGTGTACCTATCTGTGTGTATATGTCTCTGAAACTATCTACTAGTGCCCATAGAATCAGAAGAGGGCATCAGACGCCCTGGAGCCGGAGTTGCCAGCTGTTGCCCTTGGTGGGTGAGTGGATCCAGCTGTGATCCTTATCTTCATGGCTTCATGGCTCTTCCTCTTAGCCATTTCCCCACCCAGTCAGTAGCTCTTACATTTTTTTTCTCTTTAGGTGCTGACTTCCTGGGTAATCCAGGCTGACCTCAGATTCAGGATCTTTCAGTCTGCCAAGTGTGTGAATAAATACCTCCTTCCTTTCTTCCTCAGGAGGATTTTCTTCTTCTTCTTCTTCTTCTTCTTCTTCTTCTTCTTCTTCTTCTTCTCCTTCTCCTTCTCCTTCTCCTTCTCCTTCTTCTCCTCCTTCTCCTTCTCCTCCTCCTCCTCCTCCTCCTCCTCCTCCTCCTCCTCCTCCTTCTTCTTCTCCTTCTCCTCCTCTTCTTCCTCCTCTTCTTCCTCCTCCATCTTATTCTCCTCTCTTTCTCAAGTTAGCATTCAAAGTAATACATGCACTGTGGCATGTCCATACTTATGTCATTATATTGTGTTCTGATCAGTTCCTTCCCTTTTCCTGTCTCCTACCCCCATCTACCTGGATCCCTTCCTCTCAGTGCTTCACCTCCCTTTAGGTTTCCTTGATCAACTTGTCTTTCTCAGTCTCCTATATTTCATTTAGTATAGCGATTATTTTATCTGTTTCCTTGTCAGTGTGATGGTTTTCTTATTTTTACAGATGAATAGGATTTGCTGCGTATTCCATGCTCTCTTACTCCTAGGGACATTTAGGCTGACTTGTGAAGAGTGCAACAGTAAACATGCAAGTGCAAGTTTCTCTGATATTTTGTGTCCGTCTGAGCTGTATGATGTTTCTGTCTTTAGTTTTTTGAGAAACCTCCATGCTGACATCAGTAATGGCTATACAGGTTTGTAGCCTGAACACTAGCAGTATAAGGCAAGTCTCTTTCCAGCACCCTCACTGGTATTCATCAGATTTTTTTTTTTTTTAAATGATAGCTATTTTGATTGGGGTGAGATGGCATGGCATGCATGTGGAAGTTACAGGTCCTCTTCTTCCACTTTGAGACTGGGTCTTTTATTGTGCACCACTAAATGTGACAAGCTAGCTTACCCATGAGCTTCCAGGGAATCGCTTGTCTCTATGTCTAACCTTAGAAGCACTGAGATTACAAACATACTCCCCTTGGCATTATGCAGTCTGGAATCAAGCTCATGCTGTGGTAATCATTTTATTCCTGAGCATATCTCTAGATCCTCAAATCAGTCCCTTACTGCCCTGTTGCTCCCCTCCCCCTTGGATACAGGGTTTCTTTCTGTTAACAGTTCTGGCTGTCCTGGAAATCACTCTGTACCATCTCCTCGGATTAAAGGCATGTACCACCACTGCCTAGGCTCCTCAAATCACTTGTAATTTGCATTTCTGTTGGCTAAGGATGTTCAGTACTTTCTCAGGAATTGGCTGTTTTTAAAAACTGCAGTTGATCTGACCGGTTCTTCATTAGATGGTTTTGTTTGGGGATTGACGCTTTCTGAAGTTCTCCATATACTCTACATCCCTGTGTGAGTCATCATTTTGGCAAAGATTTCCCCCTCAGGTAAACTCATTTTCTAGCTCCTGGGAAATGTCTTGTGCTATTGTAATCCTTTTCAGAAAGCTTTTCTCTCACAGTTTTTATAATTTCCTCTAACAGTTCAAGGATTTCAGGTCTTACAATAAGATCTTTTTGTTACATATGTATGCGTTTCATATCATGTATGTGGAGATCAGAGGACAACTTGTGGGAATCTGTTCTCTCCATAATTTGGGTTCCAAGTATCTAATTCAGGTTGTTAGGATTAGTGGTGAGCATCTTGACCCACCAAGACATCTCCTGGCCCCAAGAGATCTGGTACTATTTGCCTTTGTAACTAAGTTGACATTTTTCCTTTGACTTTCAATGTCATTTCTTTGCCTTTTAGCTTTTAGTATCTTGACTCTACTGTGCTGTTTGTGTGTGTGTGTTTGGGGGTTTTGTTTTGTTTTGTTTTTTTCAAATTTCTTTGTGTAGCCTTAGCTGCCCTAGAACTCACTCTGTAGACCAGGCTGGCCAAAAACTCACAGAGATCCACTTGCCTTTGCCTCCCAAGTGCTGGGATTAAAGACATGTGCCACCATTGCCTGACGAACTCTACTATTTCAAGTCTGTTTGGGATTTCAAATACCTCTTATATTGCAGTGTCTGATTTTCTCTAGATCTGGGAGGTTTTCTATGAGAATCCCGTGAATAGAGTCAATACCGTTAGCGTTTCCACTCCTTGTCTGTATCATGGATTGCTCTGTTGATCACAATTCCAATAATTAGATGTTATGCTTCTGCGCATGTATTTGTTCTTTATTGGTGCACGTTGTGAGCCTTGTTCTCTGTCTTAGTTACTGTTCCTGAGACAGGGATGGCTGAAATAAAGGAAGCAGGCTGGGAAGAGGGAGAAAGACAAGCAAAGCAAGAAAGTGCTTTGAAATGTGGTGAGACGAGTGCCGATGTAATCGGGAGGGGACGAGAAGAGCCAGAGATGAGGAAAAGGCAGATTTTCCCAAGAATGCAAAAATGGATAAATATGAGAGGGGAATAAGGAAATTTTTTTTATAAAGAAGGAACTAAGGTAGCCAAAATACGATCAGGGAAGGAAGCTAAGAAAAAAAGTACTCCCAATAAGAAAACATACAAAGCTGAATGGTGGGTGCCTGCCCTTTATTCCAGCACTCAGAAGGCAGAGGTAGGCATCCTCTTGAATTTATGGACAGCCTGGTCTACAGAGCTAATTGTAGGACAGCCAAGGCTACACAAACCCTGTTGTCTTGAAGAAAAATAAACCAAAGCATACAAACAAAATTAGAAAAAAACCTGAAGAACAAGAAATTGTGAACTAATAAAAATGCTGTTGAGAGTAAGTAAGGTGGCTGGAGAGATGGCTCTGCAGGTGAGGGTGTTTGCTGCCAAACCTAATTCTGTGAGTTCAACCCCAGGACGCATGGAAGAGAACCAACTCCTATAAATTGTCTTCTGACTTCTACATGGATGCTATGGCACATGTATACAAACAGAAATAGACTTAAAGGGGTCACGAGGGTAAAGAAGTATTTGGGACAGCTTCTTCCTATGTCTTTGACCTCCCTGTGTGGGGTTACAGGCTTGTCCTCAGTTGTCTCAGGACAGGATGATACCTGGCTGCTGTCTGAGTCCACAGTTGCTCATCCGCCAGATTCACTGCTCCACCACAATCTGGCTTGTCCTCTGGGTGTCTTGGTCTTGTCCTGAAGCAAGGACTGCACATTT